TTTTCTTTAGATGTTTGTTATTGGTTGATGAGATTTTGGTGGTAAATTGAAGAAAGGATATTAAATCATTTATTTTATAAAGAAAAAATAAAAATAATTATCTTTAAATGCTAAAATTAAAATAATTATTTTTCTTTTTATTAATTCTAGAGTAATATGTTTTTCATTGTTAATTTAATAATTTTCTTCTTAGCATTTTTAAAGCTCCCTGAACATCCAATATATTTATTGAATCATTTCTAGATTCATATATGGATTCTCCATAATTTACATTTAATTATCCTCCAATTTTAAAAAGCACTTTTAATTATTCATCAAATTACGAAATGCATTTTTGGATATTTTCATGCACTGATATCATTTAAACCATACAAGATTACAAAATGTCTGTAAATAAGAAAGTTTGACCTCTTTAATATTCTGTTTCATATTATACCTAATCCATTCTGCAAGTTGAAAAAAGTTACTTTATTGATATTTTTTATAATCCTGGATGAATAACATAAGGAGAATATAAATAAAATCGAGTTTACTTTTTATTTAAACATTTAAAATAAAAATTGATACTTGTAGCAATATTTAAGTAACTATCTAAACCAATAGCCCAAAATTGATTATCAAATAAAATTAAATGAAGTGTGAAATAACCAAACATTTTTTTTTATTTCAAAAATATTATCATTTCTTCATAAATTTTATTATTATCAATAGCTTAAGTAATTGATGGATATACTTTATTTAAATATTATTAAAATTTTACAATGTAGAGTTTATACATAATGATGAGCAGAATAACTATCATATGTACATATTTCTTCAAATTCATATTATGGACTAACATGAAAACTAATTGAAGTTTTTTGTATTTTCAATCTATCTTAAGTTGGAAATGCTTCTACTATTCCACCTGAAGTTAAAAATGCAGTTATATATTCTTTATATGATTAATATAAAGATTTAACTGCAATCTTTAATTTAAGTGGTAATTATGTTTTGATAATTTACCTATCTATTATTATATTATACTTGATAGCAGATATTGTATTTTCATCTAATTCTTATTCATTACAATTTAATAATTAATTTAATCCAGGAATTGTACTAATATTAATTGTAGCTATGCCTCTTCCTCCAAAAGAACAATCTATTTTAAAAATCCAAATTCTTATATTTCTATTCTTCACTATCAATACTGTTAATGTATTATAAAGTTCAATTTCATCATATATTTCAGATGCTCCTGGAGATGTTGGTATCTTACATTTACTAAATAAAACTTATGCTCCAGATTAACTAGAATATAATAAATGATTTTATGGTTATCCACTATAAAGTGGTACATTTAACATATGACATAGTTGAATAAATTCATTTGAAGGATATCCTGGAATTATCATAGCTAATTTATTATCTATTATTTTCCTTATTTATTTTAAACATTTTGGAGAATAGATTAATTTCTATAATAAACTCATATGTGTATTGAATTTATCAGCATTTTCAGGAGTTAAAAATCTAACTCTTTTAAATGAAACTTAATGCATTTCAAAAATCTATCTTATGAATAAATCTTACTCTTTCATAATACATTAATATATCTTTATCTTATTCATATGCACATATATATATAATTTCTACTTATGGATCTATTGCTCTAAAAATCCTACTAATTTATGAATTCTCTTTTTATATAAATTTATCCATAGTCAACCTCTAATATTCTGAATAATTTAATGATGATAAATGTATTTCCACTCTTTAATACAATTTATATTGATTCCAATTATCCTAATATATAATTATCATTTATACTTAAAAATTAGCTTATCTTTATAAGAATTCTTTATAAATGGAGTTTGTTTTTTAAAATATTTTTTATTTTGTCATTTCCTTTTGTTGCTTTCTCCTAAAATACTTTTATATAAAAATTGCACTTTTATATAATGTTCTAAGTTCTTAAAATCTCTTATATTATATATAGCCTTTAAATGCAGCCTAGATTTTTTCAGCTGCTCGTTCTAAGCTGTTATTAATGATAATTCATACCCATCTTGTCCAATAAACAATCGTGGAAATAAATATGGAATGATTTCATCTTTATTTTATATGCATTTAACAATATCAGATAAAGTAATTGTTCTTTTTGAATGAATTAAATGAATTATTGATCTGCCATCAACAAAAAAAGTAGGACATTGATATTTTATATTAATTGATTCCATTCTTTATATTATTGCATTTATTAGATTCCATTCTTATAAATTCTTTTATCTGAATGCTAAAAGTTCAACAGCCTAAATTCTTTTACCTTTTTGAATCATAAATTAAAACTATTTTTTTTCTACTTTCTTAATTGGTTTAGGGGCAGGACAATCAAATAGTAATACTTAAGTTCTTTATTTTTATGGTTTATGAATGATTTAAAAAGAAGTTTAATGATGTTGTTAAGATTATTCAAAACTTAGATCTATCTTTTATTTTAACGAATCATCGTTATACTCATTTAGAATTGATTACTATTTAAAATTATTCATTTTTGAATATCTACTTGCCTTGTTTCCTTATAAAAATATATTCTTTTCTATATTCATACTATGGTTTGGCACATCTGTTGAAACTGCTCTTTTTCTTTGCATTTCAGTTAACTCTGGTAATTTTTAAGGTTAGATGTCTGGAATTATAATCTTAATCAAATACAATTTTACATTAGAACACATAGCATTAACTTTCTATTCTAAATTCTATTCTAAATTATTCACTTTATTCTATAACTATTTCAATAAGATTATATTTTATTTTGAATTTGGTTAAGATATATTAACTATTCCTTCTAATTTCCCTAACTAAAATTTAAATTATTCAATTTCTCTTCTTGAATCAAATAATTATGAGTTAATCATATAAATAATAATATTAATATCTATATGAATTTTATTAATAATTATTTCTAAAACTTAATAATAATTGAACTCAGTCTTGATTGAGTATATATCATATTATATAAATATATTTATAGTATTTTTTTACTTTATATAAGTACATATAAATAAATCTTCAAATTATTTTTATACTTTATTGTTAATACAGAATAAATAACGTTTGTTATATGCATAATTAATCTATTGTAGAATTTATGATGATCATTAGAGTGTTAATCTATTTTTGTAACTTTTTTGACAAAATATTTTTGTAATATAGTATTATATAATAAATTTTTAATATTATCAAAAAACAAAAATATTTTAATTCTTTTATCAAAGTATAGTACTAATAACCAGAACTGTTTTTATAGTATTTAATGATAATAATTATTTTCATCATTCAATAATATTATTATTAATGTTGCTTTTAGTTTTTATTTTCCTACAAGTAGGTTATATCTTTTAACTTTTTTATGTACATTAATTTTTATGACAAAAAATTTAATAAATAATAGTAATGAGTTATTCTATAATGTAAATACTGAGTTTGTTCTAAGAGAATGAAGATCATAATGTTCAAAATATAGGTTGTCCAAGTGATTCAGAACCTAAGACTCCTGCTTTTAAGGATGAAAAAGAATAACTTATTAGGCAAATCAATGAAGTTAAACAATAAAACTAAATTCTTTAAAATGAATATTAAAAGTAAATTATGAGTTTAAGTGAAAAACTAGGTAAAATTTATTATTATTTTAGCTTAAACCTAAACTATATCTATTAAAATAGAGAAATATAAAGAGTAATTGAAAAATGAGTTAAATTAAAGTTAACATCTAACTAAATAATATTTGTAAAAGCATGAAGTTTGTTTCGATTTGAAATAAAGAATATTACAGTAAAAGAAATAAAACAATATCATTTATGAAGATGTTGGAAAAAGAATAACAACTTGTCCAAGCGAAACATCAACTGTTCAAAGTCCTTCATTTGTTATACCATCATCACCAAAACCTATAAGACTCTGTTATAGTTCATTCAATCAAAATTTTTGACATATTAATAATTAGTATTACTCTAAATAATAAATCATATGAAATCGGGGAGATATCAAACTACTTATTTTATTTCTTTTATAGTATGCTAATTTTAATTATAAATGTATAACTTATGGTAATTTGTAAATCTAAAATATAAAAACTATGATATTATTCTGATATATTTTAGAATACATTTTATTCTTCAAAATCATTAATATTAAAGTAATAAAATAAAAATACTAGAAATTGTAATTATTATATATTAGTAATCATGAATCAATATATTACTTTATTATAATCAATAATTACAAACAATTATTATTCTATTATTGATATAATTTCATAATTAAATTGATCATATGAGTCTAGATTTATAATAAAAAATAATTCAACACATTCTCTATAATATTTTTCAAATTCTTATTAAAATACTGAAAATTCAGTATATTAAATTACAGTTTAATAAGATTCTCAAATTTCAAATTGATAATTCTATTTAAAATCTCTTTACAAAAAACAAATATTATTATATCTAATTAAATTAACATATTTTATAGAATCGATCTCAATCATTCCTTTTTAACTACTTAAATCTGATTATTTAAAGTAACCTTTTTCAAAATCTTCCTTTTTTCAACTCATTTTTAGAATGTATTCTTTATTTAATAATATTATGTTAAATTAATAAATTATTGATATATTTTAATAATTTTTATAAATAATGAATATTTTGGTAATTTTATAATATTGAATAATGAAAACTATATTATTAATAACATTTAATATTTTTGTTTAATCTAAAAGGTCTTGGTGATGATATCTATTTAATAAAGATATATTCAATTTAATACAATATTCCATTATCATTTAATTAATTAGTAATAATAAAACAAAAAAATAGATAAAAAGTTTGAATGTCATATAATAATTAATATTAATTTTTTTGTCTTTCTTAAAAAAAACAATAAGTAATTTTGAAATGGTTTCACATAAAATATAATGACACTTTGAATTGGAATGAATGAATTGATTAATAATTTAAATGAATTTTAATAATTTTGGTATTAACAAATGCATAGTAGAAGCATTCGAAAAAATGAATTTCAAGAAACCTTCGTTAATTTAATAAAAGGCTATTCCATCAATATTGTAAAAAGAAGATGTAATTTGTTAAGGAGAAGCTGGCACTGGAAAGACATTATGTTTTTTAGTGTAGGTGTTATAATTTGGACTTGAAATATAATAAGATGCTTAGGAAAGAAAAGCTAGGATTCAATAATCCTTAGTTGTTGATAATACAATTTAAAATTTTGAGAATCCTTTACCATATGCATTAATAATCGTTCCTACAAGAGAATTAGCCATATAAATTACAGATATTTTAACAAAAATTGTAAATAAATTGGAAGGAGTAGAAAAAGATTATTTTTAATCTCATTTATTTATTGGAGGATTACCTGTAGAACAAGATAGAGATGTTCTAAAAACAAGAAGATGTACTATATTAATAGGTACAGTTGGAAGAATAATGTAAATGATTTAAGAAAAATTAATGAATTTGTGCAATATAAAATTGTTGGTATTAGATGAAGCAGATAAATTACATGAAAATTATACTTTTTAACCACATTTTAAGAAAATATTGGCAAATATTGTAGGTAGGAATTAAGATTAAAATAAACCTTAAATATTATGTTTTTCAGCAACATACCCTTCTAAAATAATTGGTTTAATATAATTATGTTTGAGTAATCCTAAATTAATTAAATCAAATGAAGAAATATGTTTAGAGAATCTAACATAATTTTATATTAAATTAAATTTAGATGACGAAAATAAATCAAAATACCAATCAAAAACTGAAGCAATTGCTAAAACAATGAAATAGCTATCAATCAAGTAAACTATAATTTTTTATAATGACAAAGTTAGAGGAGAAAATCTATTTATGGATCTTAAGGCTGAAGGTTTTAATCCAGTACTTATACATGGAGATTTAACTTAATCGGATAGAATAAAGATGATGCATTAATTAAAAAGAAACAAGGCAAATTTGATTATTTCAACAGATTTAGTATTAATTTTAATTTATATTTACAGCTTTCTAGAGGAATAGATGTAGACACTTTAGATTTAGTTATTCATTTTGATACACCTTCTTCTTATGAAACATATTTACATAGAATTGGTAGAACTGGTCGTTTTGGAACTTTTGGAATGTCTTTATTATTAGAATAAACTAATTATAAAGATGTTTAAGAATTTATAGAAGCAGAAATTCCAAATTTGAATAAAAAATTAGATGAAAAACATTGTAATATGATTGAAAAAAAAGAATTTTATGCTGAATTTTTAAATGGTATTTCAGATTGGAAATAAACTAATTACAAGTTTTATGATGAAAATAAATTTTAATATTATGAGGATGAATAAAAAGATAAAGATGAAAATAATAATTTTGAAAAAGAGGAGATTGTAATTAGACCTAGAAAATAAAAAAAAATATAAGAAAATGATGATAATAAAAATTAGTAATAATAATAAGAATAATAATAATAATAATAATAATAATAATAAATGGATGTAGAAGTTTAATAATAAGTATAAATCAAATAAAATTAATTAATTAAATTTAATATCAATGAAATTAAAGATATTTTATAATGTAAATGTTGTAGAGAGTTTTATTAATAATTAAAATGTTTAAGTAATGAATTAGATTAATATTTTAAATGAATTAATTTATAAATTTCAACCAAATTACAATTATTCTTTATACATAGAAGAAGTTTATTATTTTTCATTATAAAAGTCCATTATTTATTTAGTTTCCATACTCAATTAACTATTGCTTCTCTCATTTTTACTTGTATTAATTCTATTAAATTGATTTTCATTAACCATATTTTTAATTATATCCTAATCTATATGAGGATTATTAGAGAATTCTCGTATGTATTATTATTGATTTTTATGTATTTCTAATTCATTTTTTAAAATCTAATTTTGTAATTTTAAAGCTTCCATTTCTTTCTCTTTTTCTTATACTAATGGACCTTAATTCAAATTATCTTCTAAGACTTAAAAGTAATCTTTAGGTTTTGTGTTTGTAGTTAATAAAAATAAATCAGCCTCCTTTGATTTATGTCTTACCATATGTTCATAGATATTTTATTTATGTTTACATAAGGCATCAGCAGAAACTTATATTTTTCCAACTCTATAAAATTTGAATTATAATTACTATTTCATTACACTCAATTTGAGACCATTATAAACTTCTTATAATTTAGCTGCTCTCTATTCTACATTATATTTATCCTAAATGAGTATCTCATTTTCTTTCTAGATTTTTCTAACACAATTATTTGAAATTGATACTCATAATCTAAATCAGAATATTGTTCAATCTCTTTTCTTCTCATTTCTGTTTATTTTTAAATTGCTTCTCTCTTTTTCTATAGTTATTTTATTCTATTATCATTTTCTATAGAGTTTTATTCAGAGTAGTGCATTTGTTAATAACTGTATAAAATTAATATTGTATTAATATGAAATTCAATTTGTCTATTTACTAACAAGAGTTGGAGTATAGATTTTCCAAAAGAAGGTGATTGCTAACAATGCTCCAATCCATGGACCAAGAACATACATCAATAAATTAATCATTTAATCCCATTTTCCATAATAAATTCCATAAAATAATTACAATCTAACATATATTAATATAATACCCAAAAGCAGCAGATGGATTAAATAGACTATTTCCCATTGTTGCAGTGTATCTAAATATATATTAATTATTTACTATCTTGCTACAAAATAAATGACACTCACAAAAATGGCAGATTGTATAGGAGTTGTTGTTATTTTTGTATTTTCTGCAGTCTAAATTTATATGAATGTAAAGAATATAATGGATCCAGCTATTTCAGACATTAATGTTCCAAATACTTAATGTGATGGTAATCTATATTAATTATTATTTTTAATACCTTTCAAAATATGGTAATGTTTATTTATATGCAAACATTGGCATCAATAACATTCCTGCAATTAGACTAGCAATTGTCTATGCCCCAACATAATATATGGCTTTTTTTTTAGAAATTGATCCATCTATATATCCTATTAATGTGCAAATAGGATTGAAGTACCCTCCGCTTAGTCTTCCACATACGATTAATCCTATGAAATAAACAAGAGCTACACCAAAATTGGTTCTATTGTTATAAGATTATTTTACTCAGTAGCTAATGCTCCATAGATCAATAATAGTGTTCCTGCTGTTTCAAATACCATTATATTTGTAATTTAAGCTTTCTCTTTTTCAACTGAATCATCATTTACTTATGAAAATTCATTAACAATAGGTTCCATAAATTATTTAATTAATCAATATAATCATATTTATTCTTGCCAGAAATCACCAAATTCAACATTCTTTAAACTAAATGTTAACTTAAAGCTATGATTTTCATTGAAGGTTCTATTAATTAATTTCATACCTGCTTTATTAGATTGTATAACAAAGAATCCAAGTTACTTTTTAATCTAGAAATATACATAAAATCTAAATATTTTATCAATATGAACTTCAAATATTTTAAGTTTCAACGTAATTTTAAAATGGATATTGGCAATTCAACTTAAAAATGATTCATTAATTAATGTGAACAATTAAATTCTTAATTTATTTGGCATGATCATTAATTAATTTTACATTAATTATATGCTATATCTAATATGGAATTTAGGTTAATAATCATAGGGATATTCTTTATTAGCTACAAATAGTTTTTCAATATGGAAAATAAATTTGATCATCAAGACAGATATAGTAATGTACCTTTTAATTAATATTCTTACACTTATATGATAATAGTGTTATCATGTGTAGAATAATAGTATGGAATTGAACAATGATCCTTAGATCTATTAATTTTCAAATGTTCACAATTGATTCATCTTCATGGGTAACATTTAAGAATATCCTTACTATCTACATCAAAAAATTCTTTGATAAATTAAGTAGAAGTCCTATTGATCAATGTCTTTTTAATTAATTGAAGTTCTTTTGAGTGTTAATGATGATCAGTTTATAAAATACTAATACAACTTTGACTAGGTTGATACATACATTATTTATGATTTCAATATTTGATTATCTTCATTTTCTTTAAGCAAATGCGATCACAAAATTCTAACAACTTTAACATATTTTATCAATCAACTGTGCTACACCATAACAAGAAGTGAAATTTACATTATCCTTAACTTTATCTTATTATATTAGTTTTTAAAATAGTGCGTTATACATCTTATAAATAAGAACTTATCATAGTTTAAATAATTAATGTTAATGCTTTGACAAAATTCTTAGATTATTTAATCCAACTAATTCTATTCTTCTAATCAATTGTTAAATGTATATATAATTAAATTGTCCCCTAAAATGCAGTAATAATCTCAGCCCAAAAATCAATACTTCTCATTTTAAAAGAATTACAAAGATTCCCAAAGATTTTTTGATTATATTAATTGTTCTATATTTTAGGGAACAGATTTATCATTAATTTAATTTATTCTTTATCTGTTAATAGTATTTTCTATTCAATGGGAATGCATATTTTGATTGCAAGACTTGACATGATAGTTTTATTGACATAACCAGAGTCATTAAATGAGATTTAACAATTTGAAATCCAAAAATACTTAAAGTTGAATAAATCCTTATTTACTGAAAATCAGATCAATACATTAATACAACAAATTCAAAATAAAAACTATGAACACATTAGAAATTTATATCTAAGAAGATATACAAGGTATATTTAATGATTTAAAAGACTTGAAGAACTGTTATCATTAGATTTGTCAATTGAGTAAATCTATGATTATTGCATACGAGTTTATTTAAAGGAAATCAAAAAACCAGGAACTACTACTCTCAAAATCTATAATAATATCATAGAAACTCATCGTATTTAGTAATCTTACTTTCTAAGAGAACCTTCAATATAACAATTGCATTATAATTGCTTAGACTTAGAGTAAGATGAAACAAATAAATATTTATTATTGTCTTCATTATATAATAGAAATAGATTCGAAGAACCTAGATTCATTTATATGTCAGATCTACTTCGAAGAAGAATGTAACAAATGATTAAAGATATCTCAGATAGAAATCAAACTATTTAAAAAAGTATAACCTAATATTATCATCAAAATAAAAAGAAATCATATTGTCTTACACCTAAACCTGTTAGATCTCGTAATAATACATTTTATAAGAACAATGCAAAAATAGCAGGATTACGAGTATAAACAGAATTTGTGATAGAAAAGAGATTACCAGCAAGATCTATATACCAAATTAAAAAAATTTAGTTACTTGATGAAAATGAAAATGTCACTCCTAATAATAAGAATAGTTGTAAAGCTTTAGGAAGACCAAGAAGTCTTATAAGAACTAAGTTTTAATAACTGATCAATTGATTATTATTATTATTATTATTTATAGATATATAAAATGGACAATCAAATTAAAGTTGTCATTCGCTTTAAGTCTATTTTAGCTACAGAAGAAGAGTCTGTAAATTTTCCTTAATCTCAAGTCTCCTAATTGGATTATTGAAGAAGAAGCAATTACATATAAAAATACAAAATAAGATGAAATTTTTGAATTTGATGTAATCATGCCTCCTATGACATTATAAGAAGAGATTTTCTAAACTATTATGCTACCTAAAATTAGTTTTTTGTAATATTCTATATTTAATATCCCAAGCTTACAAGGTTATAATAGTGCAGTGTTTGCTTATGGTGCAACATCATCTGGCAAAACATATACAATCTTAGGACCAGAGAGTACAATAGAACAGATTCTCAATAATAAGTTTAATATTGATTAAAGTTCTGGTATACTTCCTAGATCGTTTTATCAAATTGTTGATGTACAATCAATTAAAAATTTAGGGATATCAAAAAATTAAACAATAAGAATCATTGTAATAAGTGACACTTAAGGCAAACTATGTTGAGATCTATAATGAACAAATTTATGATCTGTTAAACTAATAATATAAAACTAACAATCAAAAATTAGATCTCAAAGTATTTCATTTTATATTTCTTAGATTAGTACAATAGCTGATGGTCCAAAGTTGATGGGAGTGAGAGAAGTTCAAGTTGAATCTGTAAATGATCTCATGGAATTAGTAGCATTTGGTAGTTACAATAGAGCAATTGGAGCAACTCAATTTAATTCAAGATCTAGTAGATCACATGTTATTTTCTCAATTGAGTAATATAATAAATATATTAATAGATTGCTTGTTGAATGGAAGGATAAATCATAGAGAACATCTAAAATATAATTTATTGATTTGGCTGGAAGTGAAAGACTCGCCAAAACAGTTGCTAAAGGTTAAATGCTTGAAGAAACTAAAAAAATTAATTAATCATTACATTGTTTGGGACATTGTATAATGGCTTTATCTAGTAGAAAAAATAATAAGCATGTTCCTTATAGGGATTCTAAATTAACATTACTTCTTAAAGAATGTTTGGGTGGTAATTCTAATACTTCTTTCATTTGTGCAGTTAGTGCAGCATAAGAACATGAAGAAAAAACAATTTAAACATTAAAATTTGCATAGAGAGCCAAATTAATTCTTAATAAAGTCAAAATCAATATTAAACTTAGTTATGAATAGATTGAAAAATAAATGACTATGCTTAAATAGGAATTATCAATGATGGAAAAGATTCTATTAATGAATGTATTTTATTTAACTCATATATATTTTTAGGGAATCAAATATGATAAATAAATATTTAAAGAATAAAACTTTTAACTTTAAATTGATTAAACTATGAATATTGATGAATTAACTGGAGAATATAGAAAATCAATAAGGAGATCACTTTAATAATCAAGCAGTAAATCAGATATTAAAGAATAATTTAGTTATAGATTCTAATAATATCTTGATTCAGAAAATTTAAAACCTAAATAAAATTCTAGTCCCAATTCTAAAAGAATCAGTTAAAGATAATCAGGAGGTAATTTAAGAAAATAATCATTACCTTGTTCTTTAGATGGTTCAGAAGCTGAACCTGATGAAAATGGGGATAATTATTTAAATGAAGCATAATTAATATCTGCTCTGAAATCTATTAGTGAAACACCAAGAGAATTATAGTAATTTATAAGTGGAAGAGGATCTTAAATAAAATTTCAAACATAAGAATCCCAATATTAATCAACTACAACTAATCAAACGACAAACACTGATTAAATATAACAATAGCAAAAAAAAAGAGATAGTTGTTGCTAAATCTTTTGAATACAATTATAATTATTTTATAATTTTTCACTTATTTTTTTATATATATATAAGTTTTAAATTGAATATTATAAATAATAAATTCATTGGGCATTAGGATTTTGTAATGTTGGTTCAATATTAGATTGTTGCTCAGTATTTTAAACTGCTATTGGATACAATTATTATGATTTAGATGATGATTATTAAGCTTAAGGATCATATAAAACAGATATAGCTCTTGGTTAATGACCTTAAGCTTATAAAGCACTTTATTTAGTAAGTTCTACACTTATTCTTTATTCTAAAGATTTGATTAAGTCATCCTTTTATAAAATTATTGTATTTAGTTTATTGTTTTCATTTTCTAATACTTTATATTCATGCATAAGTCGATTCCATTCATCAACAGATGGAAATGCATATTGTTATTATTTTTAAACAGGTAAAAATGTAGATTAAAATCTTCTCAATTCCTAAAGTAATGACTAAAATAATATAAAAAATTATACATCTCTTTCAAATTCAAGACTTCTAATTCTATCAATTAATTCTGGAGAATCTTATATAATTGTGGTAGGTTAAGGAATACTTTGTGGTACAGTTATTACTTTAGGTAATGGAGTTTATTATATAATTGGTTTATTTTCTGAGTAATGCAATTTAATTTCTAATTCTGTTATTTTTTATTATCTTAATTACAATTCTGATTTTAGACTATCCATTTCAGTCTTGAAGAGTTTAATTTTATTTTTCTTTTTTTTTAATTACTTTTCTAATCTATCTAACTCATTTTGACTATAAAATAGATGTTATTATTATTATTATTAAGAATAAGGATTACCATAAGTATTTCCGTATAATGATGATTAAAGTTCAGCTATCTATTGTCGTACATCAGTTAATTATTTAAATTAATCATCTTACTATCTTTTTTATAAGAGTGAATCTAATTATTATTGCATTTTAAATTCAAGATCTCTAAGTTCTTTTTTATGACTTTTTTCTAAATCATTAATCTTTCTTTGATATTCATCTTGATTGGTTAAAATTGCTAAATATTATATGGTATTAATTTACGTTTAAGTACTATTGATTTATTTGTTTAAGGATTTAAACTAAATGATGAAGTGATAACATTATTTTGTTAGATCTAATCGTTTGATGATTCTTTAATATCAGCTTATTTAGCAGAATTAGTTGATGGATAATCAATTCTTGATGAATTTATAGTTGGATTAAATGTAGGAATGAATGGATTAGGTACATATGTCTAATAAAATTGTTAGCTCATGAATTTCAACGGTTATATATAATATTTAAAAATATAAATAATATTTGCTTGATCATAAATTAATCAAATTTGCTTATCAGTTTTAAATCAATCCAAAACGTATTTTGTAAGTATCATTTTATTGATTATACTTGGATATTAATGTTTAATCATAAAAAAATGAGTGTCTTTCAATTGTATTTGTATTAAAGTATCTGTTAATATATATTATGATTATTTATTATTTATCAAACTAATCAATATCCAAAATTATAACTTAATTGAAATATTATAAACTCATCTCCATGAGAATTGAATTAAATGATGTTTTAATATAAATAATCATTTTTACTCAACATAAATTACTTAGAAAATATAAACGAATTTACTTAATTCAATAAATTTATTAATAGAATCTAAATATTTATAGACATATTTTCAAGGTTTTTAAAATTAATCTAAAATAAGAAACTAACTAAATTATTATTTTTATTTATTTTTCCTTTAAATTAATATTTATTATATCTCTTTTGAACAACTAATATAATATATATATTTAATTTATAAAATGCCTAATACATACATTTCAATAAAGATAAATGTAAATAAAATTTATTTATTTTATCATTGATTTCTACTAAATTGTTCTCTATTGCAAATAATAAATATGAATGATATCAACCATATTAATAGTATTAAGTATGTAACAATCAAGTATCCTAAAACAAATCTCTTTAGATTATAACATTCTTCGTTCTAAAGATAAGCATACTAATAATATTGTATATAAATTTGATTACCGTTAATCCAATTAGAATAACTATGTTAAAAAATAATTCTAAATAATCTACAACATCAAACAATTAGTTCTTCCATTATATATTAGTCTAATATTAAATTGGTAATTCAATAAATCTAGCATTGTTAAAGAATATACAATTTATAACCAGCTATAATAAATAAAACAATCTCTGTGTATTGTGTCCATAAATCAATCAATTGGCATTCAGAATCATCTCTTAATTAAAACCAAAAACTAATTACTGTAATGTCGAAAAATAAGAAAAAGCATTCCCCAACTGAAATTGTAAATGATTGCAAAAACAGTGGAAAAAATGGATTTACTCATTTCTTCAGAATTTCTATTGGAATTAGGGTTTTCAAATATTTCTACTTCTTCTTGCTGTTAATTCATTAAATAAAACGAATATATAATTTTTTATAATTAAATTCACATTAAATCAAGGAATATATTTCTTTAATAAAACTGAATATCATATTATATTAAGAATAACAAGATGAGAATAATAAGAAAAAAAATAATTGATATTTTGATTCTTCATGATAAATCAACATCATATTCTTAATTTTCATTTTTTTCTTTTTCCATTTTTTCTTTCTGCATTTTAATTTCATTTTTCTTCCTTTCTAATAGTTCTCTTTTTCTTTGAAGTTCATCTTATGTATTTTTTCTTTGGATTGAAAAAGCATCATCTTCTTTATTATTATTTACTTCCTAAAAAAACAAAATAAATTTATACATTAGCTTGCTATTATTTATATTATTCTAAAGTCTTTTTATTTTCTTCCTCTTTTTTCTTTCTAATTTCTTCCCTTTATTTTATTAATCTTTTTTTTCTATCTTCTATACTTTCCACTTATTCAACATTATTTATTTCAGTAGTCTTTTAAGAAGCTAAATTTGCAATGACTGATTTTTTAACACCAACATCATCTTCTGCTACATCCATTTCAAATTAGATAACTGAATCTGCTTATTATATTATTGGTTAAGCCTATCCTTAGATTGATGGTAAAACAGCTTTATGTGATAATTTATCAAGTTTTTTAGATTATAAAATAGGTATAGAATCCTTCTATTGTTATACTTATTCTACTTTTTCTGGTTAGGGTATATTGTTATTTTAAACTTAATAAAATTCAGCCATAGTAGGACCTTATTAAACTTGACTTTATAATTGATATTCCTAAATTTAGATTTATATTTTACAGATTTTAGAATAGGAGTAGGTGTACCATCTGAATTTAGATTAACTTATTATTTAATTGGTTATTATTATTATTATAATGATTATTATGGTTATTATTATTATTATTACTATTATTATGATTATAATTATGATTATAATCTTAATTATTATTCTAATTCAAGTGCTTTTTATTCTTATTCTTCTTTAGCTCTTTTTAATTCCTTAGTTTTGAGTTCTAAAGCATCTCTTTACTTTTTTAAACCTTATCTAAGAAATAATTAAAATTAATTACTAAAATTCAACTAAGCTCTATCTTAATACTTCTTATAATTATCTATCCTCTTCTGTTAACATCTTCTTTTTTTCTTCTTCAACTGCTAAAGACATTTACAAAGCATGTTCTAATTCAGCCTTTTCTGCTTCCATTTCAAGTAACTTAATATTAGCATTATTTTAGACATTAACAGCTTATCCTTTTTTAATTCTAATTAATAATAAGTATCATTTACTTTTTCTAATCTTACTTTTCAATTTCTTTTAATGCTTCTAATTCTAATTCTTTGTTTCTCTTAATCATTGATGTTTTGAAAACCAAAAAGTTATCAATTGTTAATAGTTTTTCAAATACCTATTTATCTTTAGGATGTTTTAATCCTTTTTCTACTTATTCAGCAAATTACTCTTCATTTACACCTAACTCATTCATCATATTGTCAATAAGATTGGCCATCATCTTTTTGTATTTTTTGAATAAGGCTTAATATTCTAACTTATTCTCTTCTTCATCATCAAAAACTATGCAGTTTTAATCTATAAATTCAGAAATAGTAATATTCCAGATTGGGGATATCAAATATTAAAGTATTGAAGCGTACACCCAATTCTAAATATAATAAAAAATAATAAACTTCTTCTTCAATCTATTTATTTGATTTTGGCTATTGAACAACAGGTTGTGGTTGAGGAGCTTATTTTTCAGGTTCTTTTTTTTTTCCAAAGAAATAATCGAAAAATCCCATTGAATATATATATTAATAAAATAAAATTAAGACTCTTTTTTTTAAAGCAATTTTTGATAATTAGAACTTAATACATAATATAACTGATTATATAAAATAATATATATATAATAATGGGTTATGTTTAGTATATATTTTATAGACATCATCATTCTATTGTTTATTAAAGATATCTTTATTAATTACTAAGATATTTACTATATTTTCTATATTATATATATATTATTATAATAAAAAATGCAAGAACTGAAATCTCCAAAGTTGTTAAATAATCTAGTCTCAAATACTTAAAAAAAACAAAACCCTATTCCTCCATCAACAGACATCAATATTCTCCAATAAATTTTAGATCAAGTTTAACCTGTAGAGATTATCCATAATAATGATGATGGTTAAGGATGTAAACTTAATATTTAATATCATAGAAGCCAATTAAAAAAGGAACAATAAAGTCCTTAAAATTAATGAAGATTAAGCAGAATAATAGTTAATTGACTTTATTCAATTAGGTATATAAGACTTTGAAGCTAACCAATATTCCCAATGTGTATATCACTTAAAATAAGCAGAATAAATACTAACTGCCATTTCTTATTCTAATCCATTAATTCACTATTTTCTAATGATTAGAATAAATTTGGGAGTAGTCTTTTATGCTATTGGTTGGTTAGAATAAGCATTTACTTGTTTTGAAGATGCCATTTTGGCTTTAAAAAAAACACCCAGAACAGATTAAGAAGGCTATCTCCTTTCAATTATACGTTTGCATTGTTATTTGCAATGCTGTATAATCCTTTCAGAGAGTGGTCAACATTCTGAAGCTTTGGCTTTTGCTAAAATGGCAATAAGAAAAGCTTCAAAAATATTAATAGATCTCTAAAAATACTTGCAGAGTTAAATACATTAATAAGTCCTAGAAGAAATTCTAAAGAAGAGTATACCCATATTAAAACCGAAACATCAAACAATAGTTTAGGGTTATCAAATGTAAACCTAAGCTACATAAGAAGTACAATGATTAGTATTAAAGAGTTACGATTTAGTGTATTCAGGATGTCCATAAGCATATATTCATAGAGCCAACATATTATTCTTTATTTAAATGAATCCAGTGAATTTAAGCAATTTTATCCATGTTTTGGACTTTCCTACAAATTAACAATATTTACATATGATTTGTTTATTTGTGATTTCCTTATATTGTACATCAACAGAGTCTAAATTTGTTTAGAAAGTTGAATCTTTCTGTTTTAGTGAAGCAGAGAATTATTTATCAAGAGCATTAGAAATAGCCTATCTATATTTACCAAAAGATTTACCATTAATTAATTAATTGTTGAATGTTCATAATAGATTTTATGACATTTCAAAATAAGTATGTATTTACTTTAAAATATAGGCAATTGATGAAGATGCAAAAATGAAAATGGATTAAGGTCATTTTGAGATTGTATTACTAAAACCAGTGATTGAATCATAGAAATGTGGATTTGTTATTCCAATCATTAGAAAATGTAATAATTTATTTAAATTTTAAGCTAAATATGTTGGAATGAAGAGTAGAACTAGATCTATGAAAGAATAATAATTTTCAAATACAAAATAAGTCAATTTTAATGTTGAGCCAGAACATTAGATTTATGAAACTTAAAGTAAGACTCATAAGAGAAAATTAAGATCTATTTCAACTACTAATAAATATAAACCTAATTCTCCTAAATGGGCTAATCATTAATTAGCAGAAGTTTATTTGAATTAATAATATCCATTTAAATCTGTTTAAATTAAAAAGTAGTAATAAAAATACAATAATAAAACTGTTGAATTAGGATCTGCAAAGAATTCTGGAAATTAAAATAGTAAATTGAATAGATCAGAAAATTAGATCAAAAAAAAATACTTAAATATTTAATTAATGATAACTAATAATATAAATTAGACTAATTCTACATAAAATTCAAATGGTGGATAGTAAATTTAAGTGACTAATGTTACATAACAATAGTTATTCAAGAGAAAAAGAAATAATTAATCATTTAATTTTGATTAAATAACAACAAAAAGTCCTGTTAATCTATTTGTCTAAAAATAAAGAGATGAGAAAACACTTTCAACTATATAATAGAAAATTAAATCTGTTATAAAACAATGTTGACTTTATATTTTTCTACCATAAATATATTTATATATATATATTTATTTATAAGTAAAAAAATATAATTTATTTAAATTCTTTTTATCTAATCTTATTTAATTTAAGATCTTTTTATATTAATATGTATTACTTTTTATTTATCTTGTTTTTATGAATAGATATTATAAAACTTAGATTTAAAAGATTTTTTAGAATTTAATAAAGTCTATAAGATTTAATTTATCTATCTATTTGAATCATTCATCATATATTATATTTAAAACATCAGTCAATCTATATTTAATAATTAATAAAATGTTTTTAAGAAAATTATATAAAAATTTAAAGTTTTGGATTTTTGGAATTCCATTCTTAAATATTTATATTATAAATACATTGTAAACATGAATAAAATTTAAAAGAAAATGAATTTCGATGCCGATTATTAAAAAATATAAGAAGAGAAGAAAAGTAGAACAGCTATTGAAACAGAGATTTCTATTGAAAATAAACCAAAAAGATCAAATTTTTTGAGATTACTTGGATATTCTTGGAAGCATAAATTATTGCTATTTTTAGGCAATTTTGGATTATTAATAACATCTCTTTCAATGGTAGCACTTCCATACTTGACAGGGTAAGAAAATATAATAATTTTAGATAAATGATTGATTCAATAACAAAATCAGATGGAAAAGAGGATCTAAATAATTTAACATTTTATTTCATAATATTGACTATAATATCAGCCATCTTTACTTTTGTGAGGGCTTATGCTTATAATATTTTAGGTGAAAAAATAACTTTTGATTTAAGGAATGAATTATTCTAAAAATTAATTACAAAAGATATTGAATTCTATGATACAAATAGATCAGGAGAATTAATATCTAGATTATCTTCAGATATATCTGTAATAAATAAGGGAGCAAATGATTCAATATCAATGATTTTAAAAAATGCTGTTTAATTTATAGGTAGTCTAATATTATTGTGGTTTATCAGTTGGAATCTTACATTAGTATTATTTTGTGTTATACCTCCATTTACAATAATAGTTATTTTATTTGTAAGATCTTATAAAAAATTAACTAAAGAATACTAATAAGCAGTAGCAGCATCAACTTAGATAGCATCAGAAGTACTTGGTAATATGAGAATAGTTAGATCATTTTCAACTGAAGAGAAAGAAAGATCTCAATATAAAAATGCAACATCAACAGTTTATGGAATAGGAAATAAAATAGCTATTTTAGGTAGTTAATTTATGTCAATTGGAATTCTATTAGGATATGCAGTTATTTTAGCTATTTTATATTATGGAGGAAGTTTGGTTATTGAAGATAAATTAACAATAGGAGATTTAAGTTCATTTGTATTATATACATTAACAATGACAAGTAAATAATAAAATTTATATATAAATTAGTATCCATATTGGCTGTAAGTGGATTTATGAATTAGATAATATCTGCAGCTGCTGTTTCTGAAAAGATATTTTCAATTATGGATCATCCAGTAAAGATATAAAATGGATCACTTGATGCTTAACATATAACAGGTGAAATAACACTTAAAAATGTTACATTTTAATATCCAACTAAATCTAATGTGACTACTTTGAAATCAATTGATTTAGAGATTAAAAAAGGAGAAGTTGTGGCATTAGTAGGATAGAGTGGTAGTGGAAAATCAACAATTGTTTAATTATTAGAAAGATTTTATGATACAAATGAAGGATAAATTTTATTTGACAATATTGATATTAAAGAATACAATTAACAAAAGCTTCATCAAACAATAGGTTTTGTTGCTTAAGAACCAACATTATTTTCTGGAACTCTAAAAGAAAATATTACTTATGGAGTTTCAACATACACATAAGAAGATATTGATAATGCTATGAAATTAGCTAATGCTTATGAATTTGTTTCCAATAAATCAATATTTCCAGATGGTCTAGATACTATTGTTGGAGAAAGAGGAGTAAAATTATCAGGTGGATAAAAACAAAGAATTGCTATTGCAAGAGCTTTGATCAAAAATCCTAAAATACTTATTTTTGATGAAGCTACTAGTGCATTAGATTCTGAATCAGAATTTTAAGTATAAACAGCTATTGATGGATTAGTTTCAACTGGGCAAAAAACTATTATTATTATTGCTCATAGATTATCTACTATTATCAATTCTAATAAAATTGTTGTTATACAAAATGGAGAGATTGTTGAATAAGGTAGACATTAAGACTTAATTGAAAAAAATGGAATTTATAAATAATTGATTGAAAGATAATTAACTTGAATTATTTATATATTTATAATTTCAAAAAGAAATATATTTTTTAAGTTTTTATTTATACATTTAATTATTGTAATAATTAATATACAAATTTTGATAAAATATTATACACTTTTTGTGAAAATATGTTAAAGTAAATATAATATAATATTCAAAATTTGAGGGTTTCAATTAATTTCTTATTACTTCCTATTAATAATATTTATTATAATGCTAATAGACATTTGATTTTACCATCTATCTGATATGATTTACTTATTTGTTAAGAATAAACAATAAATTCACTATCATTTGTTTAGATTATAATTTAACCATTTTGCATACTAAATATATTCATAGCTCCTATATCAATTTCTGAATTAAATTTTAAATGTTTTGCTTCTTCATAGATTAATAATACTCCATCTCTTTAAAGTACATAAAGTAAACCTTCTTCATATATCATATTCTTTATTGGTTTCTTTGAGGTACAAACCAATTACAAAGAATCAGCTTATAATTTATATATGAAATTATCAATAGCAACCAAAATATTACTAGATGTTTAAATCATACAATTAAATACTCCATGATATGTTATCTACTTTTTTGTAACAGACGAAAAATAGAAAATATAATTGGCTGTTACAATATACAATACTCCTTTTTCAGTTTAATAGAGTTATAAAGGTACTTCATTCATCCTCCAAGAATGTTTCAATCTATAGGTGCCATGCATAGATTCGCTCACCCATTGAATAATTTAATTATCTAAAGAACACGAATAAAAAGTTTTAAAATTTTGTTATATTACAATTTTTGTAATAGATCTAATTGGTTTCTAATGTTTACCCAAAACTTATATTCTACCTGAATATAAATTGATTGCACGTACTGATAAATCAGAACATGCAACAATTACATGAGTTTAATTTGGATCATTACTTAAAAATAGTGGAATTGCCTATATATGATAAATATTCAAATTTTAAATATTATTATATGTTTATATCTTTTCTATGTCTTTATTCATAGATGATAATAATGAATTAATTTTACTAGAACTAACTTAATATGATGATAATTATTAAGAAATAAATCTAGGACTAAATTATTTAATTAGATCACTAGTATTTTTAGTTGGAGTTTTAATATAACTTGAAACTCTAATTCTGTTATTCCGACTAGTGGTATTCTCTGATTTGCTATTTTCTCTCTCTATTAAAAAGGATGATTAACTTTTTGAATAATGATTTTATGAGAAATAACTAGACATTTATTTATTCTTTCTATCGCTTTTTTCATTTTATTATAGACATGATGAATTTCTTAAGAATTTATTTGTAATATATTTTTAGATATTATAAGATCTATCTTATTTAGATTCTTTATTAATTTATTTTTTGTAATCATTATATAAATTATTATTAGTATTTGTTTGCATAGCTAAAGCTATTTTTTTTTCAATTATTTTTTTTAAAGAATTCGTTTAAAATTGATTATTACTATTTTAGAATAGGAATTGATAATCTTTTTAATCCTTATTTTACTATTTTCCATTATCTTTATGATTTTTGTATTAAAAATATGATCTTTCAGTTTCAGTACCTCGATTATCAATATAACTATGATTCAAATTCAAATTAGTTGATAGACTAATATCATTTTAACTAGTTTTTTTCATCATAGAATGCTTATCAAACATATTTAAATCTGATTAAGGTCGATGAATCCTATTTTATTTAAATTTTTGTAAGATTGAATTTATTTGTTAACCAATTTCTGACATTTTCTTTAATGATGTTTACATGTAATTTAAAGGTCTTTAAAATTTCTATTATTAATTATCATGTATTAACAACTTATTTAAATTAGTATGTTTTGATTTGAAATCATGATTATTAATATTATTTTCTTAACTCATTGATTTAGCTGTTTGTTTATTTTCATTTGGTTCTGTTATAAGAGGTTTACCTTATAACATTTAACCAAATTCTCTTTCAGGAGTAATAGATCTCCATTCAAATTAATTTTATTTCTGATTTCTATTCCCTCCTTCCTTCAATAATTATTGCATATATTATTATATAAAAATAATTACATATTATACTTTAAACAAGTAAATCAGATTATTTCCAATAGAAATCTAAACAATCTAAACTTATTCATTATTCATGTCTCTCTGACATAAAAGTGAATTCAAACTCCAAAAAGGATTATTTTTATATTTGAAAAGATAAAAAAGTTATTTTTAATTTCTCATAGATAAGAATTATAATTAGTGAAACTTTTATAATTGATAAAATGAGATGAATACGTGAAATTACTATTCATTCAAATAACTTTTAGGTATCATTACATCTTACTTTTTGATTTTAATAAAGTTATCATTTCTTTTTAAAAGATCCAAAAAATTGAATAAAAGGAAGAACTCCATTTTATTATTTTTGTTTAAAAATAATTATAAATCATTAATGAATTAAAAAGGATTGTAATTTATACTCATTTGGTATATAAAATGGATAATATATTAATTTTGGCTGATTGATTGTAATTCAATATACATAATTACATTAAATTCTCTTTAATTTTTTTTAAGTTTAAATACTAGATTTCATTATAACTTAAACAATTTTTATGAATAAGTAATATATCTTAATATTCAAATAGTTGATACAAGCAATTGGTTCTGTTAGAGCATTCTAATTTTCATAAAAATTATCTAAATAGGTCAATATAAAACATTAGCTAGAATAATTTAAAGTATATCCTAAACAATCATGTTTTCAACATCAAATTTAACACAACAAATTTTCAATATCTTCAAAAAGCAACTTACATTAAAAGAAATCTTATAATAGAATGAATCTATTTAGAAATAAATGGCTTATTTGTAATTAATGATTGTTATCTATAGATTAAGAGAATTGTATCTTATTTTGAAAACGATTTAAATATTTTTGATTATGTTAATCTTTATAATGTAATTGAATAATAAGACTAATATCTGTTAGAAGCATAGTTTTGACTATTATTTATAAATATGAAATTCTTATCATTATTTAACAAATTTCTTATTTTCATTACAAACTATGTAATATGGTAGAAAAGGAGAGGATTTAACAAGATCTAGAATTGAAATTCTTGAAGACTTGACGAGAGAGTCTGTCGAATCTTTAGATAGTTTATTGCCTTAATTTCATTGTGACAACATACAACAATTAGAAATAGAGAGGAGAGTAGTTGCTTATTTAAGAGCATTGGGAATTAAATTTAAGACTGATCCTACTTAAAAAGAATAAGAGTTTTAGTATGAAGTTTATTAATTTAGTGAATACCCAAAAAAAGATGGCATAATATTTTAATAAGTGATAGGTGAATCCCCAATGATTAAGAATATTTAAATCATAAATTTTGGAACAGATCAAAGTAAAACAAAAAGTGATTCTGAAAAATTCTTAAGTCCGTTTCTTCTAGGGAAATAACGATCGTTTGAAATGTGATTTTATTATGATATTTAATTAGAGGCTGAATAAGTTTGATAAAAAGATTATTATTATATTATTATATCATAATAGGTTCTAATAAATAGGATTAGTTCTATTTTTTTAGTTAATTTTTGAAAATATAGTTACAATTTATATGGATTTTGTCATTAATTATAAAATACATAATAGTATTATAAAAATTATAAACTTTGAACATCAAAATGGGATCATATTTGACTAAGTGTAAAGAATGTCTTTTTCTTTTCAAAAGTAAACCCTCTACTTAAGTGTCTTCACATTAATTAGTGAATTTATCCAATAATCCTGCAGAGGAGAGTTAAGGAAAAATACAGGCATAATAGATAAGTTAAATCCATCCAAAATTTAGGTATTGCACAAGATCATACTCATTCTAATGATTAATCATTATGTTAAGCAGAAAAAAATGATGAAAAAAATGAGAATGACCTTACATTAGAAACAATTACCAATAAATAATTGCCAATCGTAAGATCACCTTCAATAAATTAAACAGTTTAGTAAAAAGATGAAGATAAATTTATTATAAAATAGTAATCTAAATAAAATTTGAATAATGTAATACAATAGACATAATAATAATAATCAGTAGAAAATTGGATGATGTCTTTCTCTAATATTAATACAATTAGAATTGATGATTTAACATTATATGCTTAAGAAGCACTTGAAAAATTCACAGAATTAGTTGATATTATAGATGATAGTGATACTTACATTTAGAATATCAATAATATTGAATTGTATTTTTCACATTATTTCATGCAAAAGATTATGTTCATTCAGATTAAGTGTTTATATAAATATTATAATATAGGTTTCAATTTGATTTGAATACAGATATTAGTAAATTTCTCAAATGGTCAAATACAAACTCTTTATTTGAATTTGATTTGTTTGAAAATTATTAATTAATACCAATTAATGAATAGATGTCTATAGGAGAATTATAATTAAATAAACATTCAATGATTAAAAAACAATTGATTACATACCTTAAATATATAGAATTGCTTAATGAAGATTATTATATTGTTTTTAAATCAATACGATTGGAAGATTAATACCAATCTAAAATGTATTATTATTTATATATTTATTCAGATTTAAAAAGGAAACATAATTATAAGAAGGGAGAATATTATTAGGAGGATTGAGAATAAGTTAGAAAGATGGAAAATTAATAATTAGAGGATATTTAGATGGTGATTTTAAAATAAAAGCTGGATTCAATTTAACAATTAAGACTCTTAGAGAAAAAGTTATTGGATGTATCAATAAGGTGAAGGATTTATTTAATTGAAATAATATTTTAATTTAATTAAGTATTTATCAAAATGAGCTCATAACCATAATCAGGAACACCACTTAAAACTATTGTCAGAATTATGAATCTTAGTTGTGCTGCAGCAATTATAGCCATAACTATAGTGGATGTAATAACTGTTGTAGAGCTTTTTGCTTTTTGGAATTGGATATTCATGACATATTAATTGTATAACAAATGCTTTTATAAAGTTTATTTGCCTTGATGATTTTAGCAGCTGAATTAAGATTAGATTTTATCCTTAAGTATTTCAGATTTTTGGAAGGTAATATAGGGAAAGGATGGTTTTTAATTTTGTAATTATATAAAACAATATTAAGCTGTGGAATGTGGTTGATTGGATAAACTTTGGCAGCAACAATAACTGGTAATTATTATTGGATATTTAAGGGAGCTGTTTGATATTTTGTGGATTCGCGACAATTTTCATCCTCTCATGCAGTGTAAGAATAAACCACTATAATATAGAAATGATGATTGCCTTTATGAATTTTATAAAAATTATTAAATATCATTATACTTAGTAATAATTAATGGGTAACAAAATGATGAAAAGCTAAGCAGAATTCGAATAAGATTATCAAAGGAAATAAGAAAGTAAACAAATAACACATAAAAATAGTGAAACCATCTGTGTTAGCATTAAACCTATTAATTAAAAAAAAAGGTCGAGTTAGTACAGAATATTAATTTTTGACTCCACCAATAGGTAAAGGATAATATTCAGAAATACGTAAAGTGATAAATAAAAAAACTGGAATCATGAGAGCAGTTAAAATTGTTTAAAAGAATGCTACTGAGAAAGAAGAGGAAAGAGTATCATCAGAAGTCAATATTTTAGAAAAGTTAGATCATCCAAATATCTTAAAAATAAATGAATATTATAGTGATGATAGATTTCATTACATAATAACAGATTTTTATTCAGGAGGAGAATTATTTAGTAAAATTTAAGAGAGAAGAATATTCTCTGAAGCATATGCTGCAAGAATTATTAGATAATTATTATATGCTGTAAATTATTGTCATCTTCATGGTATTGCACATAGAGAAATTAGACCTGAAAATATTATGCTTGAAAAAAGTTCAGAATTTGCATCAGCAATTTTAATTGATTTTGGTATGTGTTAAAAGATTTCTCATAAAATGCATAGTTCAGTTAATCATCCTTATTATTAAGCACCTGAAATATAATAAAAGAAATATAATGAATCTATTGATATTTGGGCTATTGGAGTTATAACCTATATCTTATTATGTGGGTATCCTCCATTTGGTGGAGATACTAATAGAAAAATTATTGATAATATTCTAAAAAAACCTCTTATTTTTGATGAATAAGATTGGATTAAAAATAGTAATGAATCAAAAGAATTTGTTAGAAAAATCTTAGTAAAAGATCCTAATTAAAGAATTACAATTGATTAAGCATTAAATGATCCATGGATTGTTAAGAATTATGAACTTTAAGTTACAGATAGTTAATTAAGAAGAGTATTAACTAATTTAATGAATTATAATTGTTAATCTAAATTATAAGAAGCAACACTTAAATTAATAGTATTATATTTAGCTTCTAGAGAAGAATTAAGTGAATTAAGAGAAGTATTTACATCTATAGATTCAAAAAATGATGGATATATTGATGTAGAAGAATTATAAACTGCTATGCTTAAGATATTTGATTCTGAAACAGCAGAAAGATAGTCCAATAAAATATGTAATGAAGATGATACTCTTTCTTATTCATAATTTTTAGCATAAGCTATTGATAAATAAGCAATATTGCAAAAATCAAAGATTGAAACAGCATTTAAATTGATTGATAGAGTACTATTAAAATTAATTATTATTATAGAATGCTTCTGGTAATATAAATGTTGAAGAATTAAGTGAAGCATTTAAATGTAATTTGACTGGCAATGATTATTGGATAGAAATTATGAATGAAGTTGATGCAAATCATGATGGAGCTTTATCATTAGTAGAATTTACAAATATGATGAAAAAATTGATATAATCATGATCTTTTTAGTTGTCTGTAGCTATTTACTGTTATAAACTCTTTTTATTTATTATTTTTTCTTTCAACTTGAAGTTCTTATTATTTACATATAATTCTTTCTTCTTTAAGTTATTTCATCCTAATTTATAGTTATTCATTTTCTTATATTAAATTTGATATAGAACTTTCATAGCTCTCAATCATTTTATTTTAAATTCCACAATTAGTACATTTTTTTTAAGTAGTAGTTGATAATGTGTCCAATTCATTATTTAAATCTTATACTTTTATATCTTCTTTCTCCTTTTTTATTTCTATAGGTAATATTTCATCTACACCTTCATTTGAAGTTGGTCTTGACTTTCTTAAATTTTGATACTGAATTGAATGTTTAACTAAGACATCAATCATTGGATCTGATTTTATCAATAGAATGATTGTATTTTAGCAATATCTAGAGAAAACCTCATCCAAAGTCATAGATTCATTTAGAGTAACATCATTATGAATAATGTCAAAATTTTTTTTGATGTATTTTTACAAATACTATTTTAAAGTTGAAATTTTTGTGTGATATTTGCATTTTAGAGTAAACTGATATTTTTAAAGATGGATTTGATCATCTACATAAAAGTCATATTCGTTGTTTCTCATTTATATTTATAAAAAATGGGGTTATAAATAATGTTTTTATTTATCAATAATTAAATTGTTTATGAATTAATGATCTAAATTGTTAATAATAAATAATGAATTTAATTAAATATACTTTAAAAACTCATTTATTTATTATTTGAAAGTTAAACAACTAATTCAACAAACAAATATATAAATTAGATATCTAACATATACATTTGTTAAATTAAAAGCAAAACAATTCTTTTTTTTTTATATTAATAATTATTATTTAATTTCTTATTAAGAGAAAAATAAAAATAAAATATAACAATACTAATATGCAAATTATATAAATTTATCATATTTCCATATATGATTTTAACATTTCATTGATTCTAAAGTCGATTTCCTTTACAATTTCAACTTATGGACCTTCACTATGAATTCTTACTACATTTTCAGTACCAGATGGTCTAATACATGTTCTATATGATTTATCATATTTAGACATTATTTCATCTACTTTTTATTTAAGATCTTTTAATTAATAAATTATTTATACCTATTGGTTCAATTAAAGTTGTTTCTTCATAATTGGTTTTAATGATTTATTTATTTTTTACATATAACTTTGTTGAAAGTGCAGGATAATCTTAATAAATTAATAACCAATCTTAAATAGTAATTTCTAATTTATTTAATAAAAACTCAGTCATTAATATATTAATAATGGCATCTCCTACTGCTTAATTTGAGAGTTTTAAAAACAATTCAAGTTCAAAAAGTTCAAATTCTTTCAGTTAAGATAAAACATGATCTTTATAAATAACAGCTCCATGTCCATTTGCTTCAAAATATATTCCAATATCAAATTCATGAGCAACTCTATGTAAATATTTGACTCCTGTAGGTGCATATTTAGCATAGATTCCTAAATTTTCTGTAATATATTTTGTTGATGCCGAATTTGCATATGCTGTTTATATAATACCTATAGATAATTTTAAATCAGGTTTTTTTTAAAGTTATTATTTTATATACATAGCAAATAATATCGCAAATCTATCACCTTCAATAATTTACAACTTATTTTATTCAAAATAACTATGATATTATATAATTATTACTAATAAACTAATCTATCAGCATCACCATCTAATGATGCATATCTATAAGTAGGATCATAAACAAAATTTTTAGGTAATTTCTTTTCTTTTTATACAAATTCTGAACCACAACCATCATTTAATAAATGTGGTTCATCTCCATAATTAATTCTTTAAATTGTTAATACATTTGCTAATTTTTCTTAAAAATATTTTATCCAAATTCCTCCAACACCTTCTGCTCCATCAATAACTAAAGTTCCTTTAATTGGATTTTTAATTAATTGTAAAAAGATGTTACAAAAATACTCAACAAAAAATTATTAATTAGATTCTATTTAATTAACTAATCCTAAATTTGTTGCATAAACTAAAAATGCACATTATGGTGTTGTAACTATTCCTAAATTAATTCCAATTGCTCCTGCTTCTTTGATTCCATCTAAAACTATTTAACATAATGATTCACTAGATGGTCTAGTATCCCTTCCAACATATACTATTCCAGTATCATATTATGTTTCAGATTATACAATTTCTTCAGATTTATAAAATATTTCTATATTCTATTCTTCCTCAATTGAAAGCATTCCACCTTTTGGTGGTACTATCTTAAAACCATTATCAATAATCTTATTATGAGATGCTGTTATCATAACTCCTAATTTTAATGTTGTATTCTTAGACATTTATCCAATAAAGATTCCCACTCTCCAACCTACAAATTTCAAATATTTTGATTCTTCTCTAAAGCCAGAAGTTCCATAAGTTAATAATTACTTTTGATTCTTCTCTAAAAGTTACCTATGTTCATCTCTTAGCTAAGGGTCCATGATTTTTAATATATTAAATTCATTTACATTAGAAAAATTGAATAAATAATTTACAAATAATTACACATGTCAATAATTCAAGAGTCCTTTTTAATTAATTATTTTTAAATAAAGAAAACCTTAATTAAATTCTCAAATTCCTCTTTTATTTAGTTCCAATTCTTTCAGTTATAAATTAAAGAAGCCATCCTTTAAATAAAATTATGTAATTTCCTAGTATTATTTGTTTTAAATAAAAAAAACAATCTAAATTAATTTAGCTATGTCTAATATTTATTATATATGATATTATTTTTACTTAAGTTAAAGCTTTCTCTATTTCTTTCCTTTATAATTATATCTCTACAATTACAAACCATAAAAAATAAATTATTTTGTTTATATTTAATCTAACTACTCTCCATTAGCTATCTAGAATATTAAATAATTAAACTAAGCAAAAACTAATTCAGATTACTAATATCTGCTTAACAAGAGGGAATATATATAATGAAGCAACTTTAAAAATTATATTTTTAAATTTTTATGATGATAATCAATTTAATTGTATTTCAGAATATACATTAATCTAACAATTTGGACAATATGATAAAGATCCTTGATTTGAACTTGATTTATCCATTCTGAAGAACCATTAAAAATTACAAAATAAATTGGGACATTTGTAAAGCAAAAATCTTTTTCCCTATATCATTTAAGATATTAACTTTTATAATTGACGATCCAATATTTAATCCAAAATACATTTTGATTCAACAGAATTCACTTTTCTTAATATTGAATTAGTAAATGGTTATCCACAATCACAATTATTCAATGCTAATTGTCCTTATTTGATAAGTTTTGGATATAAGCAATTAAGATGATATATACAACTCCTTTATTTACAAAGAACAAGCTCATTTTATCCATCACAACACTTAAAATATCTATTAAAAAAATCCTTTGTCTCATTTTAATTTACAATATTTTTCAATTCTTATTAGATTAGCGTAACAGATGTGTAATTTGAATTATTCACTATCCTTTTAATTTTTTATAGGATTTCGTTGTTTTAATTTATTAAATTTTAGGAATTCTTAATTTAATTTGATAATTCATCAACATTTTGTAGTTTGAATAGAAGAATTTAGTTATCTCTATTCAAATCTTTATTTTATTTGATTTAATATTCTAAAAACGAATAGTTTTCATCATTATTATTATTAGGTTGTTTAAAATTCTTACCAAAGCTCTATCCTTCAATATCAATAATATTATTATTGTTACTTTTTTCTTAAATAATCAACCTACTCTTTGATTATGTCTGATAAAAATTCTATTATCGCTATTCATTTAATTCAATAGATTTTAATTTCCATAATTCTTTTTCTATTTCTTTAAGATTATAAGTTAATTTTGTAATCTGATCATCCTAGACCTTTTTTTTTATCTCTAATTATGTTTTTTCAGTTTATAATTATATTAATTTAGCTTATAAATCTTAAATATATAATTCTTTTGACTTTATATCTTTAACTAATTTTTAATTTTCATCCAATTTTTCTTCTAATCTTCTCTCTAATTATTATATCTTTTCCATTTACTACTATTAATTTTACTCATATTATTATAATTTTTAATCATTCTATTATAATTAATTTTTTTGATTATCAAATTTTTTCTGTAATATATCTATCTCCTATTCGTATTACTTATTATATGTCTTCAAATTTTCACATTACACTTTAAGATCTATTAAAGGATCTTATAATTCTTTTTGGTTGTTGTAAATTTAGTCCATTCCTATTTCTATTAATTAATTAAAATAAATTTTTTTTTATTATTTTTATGAATGTATATAATTTTATTCGATAAAGTAATAATAACATGATATGAAGTTCATTTGACTTATTATTTAAACTATAAATCATTTTAATCTATTTTTAATCAATTAGATAAAGGATATTATAAATATGAGTATATTTGAATATTATAATTAGAAATTCTTATAATATTTAGAAAAAAAGAAAGTTAATAATAAGAGTAAATTTATATGAACCTTTGTATTATTATGACCTATTATTTAATGTATCAATATCAGTAACTATAAATATTAATTAATCGTTTTCTTTGAAGCATTTAATTTTTTTTCATTATTATTCTCTCTTGCCATCATTTGACAAATACAGAGATACAAGTGGAAAAGAATGATAAACCTTCATTACTTAAGATGTTTTGAAATTTATTAGTTTGTTCATTCTAAACTGTATTGTTCCTATTGTCTCCTTTTTTGCTTATAATTGTGGATCTGGAAATGGTACTAAAGGAATTTGGTAAGGATTTGGTATATCAAACTTAATTCACTTTTTACATTAAGTTTAATTTTTACAGAATGCAAAAAAGAGTCATAAAGAATTATAAATAGAATTAAAAGAGAAAATTAAATGCAGAAAAATACTATTCATTAAATTGAAGACTAATTGATACATGATTGAAACTTTAATTCAGAATGTTATAATTGATTAAATTAAATATTTTATATAATATAGTGTTTAATGTGTTAGATATACATTCATATTGAATTAAATTAGATCTAATGAATATATAAAGTAAATATAATTTCTATTTATTTTTTTGATATAATTCTTCAATGTAACAGCACATAAGTCAGATAATCTTTATATTTTTCTGTTTTTATTCCATAATTCTTAGAAAAAGTGTTATCATTTTAAATAATTCACATTCTATTGACCTGAGATTTATACAAATTATATACTTATTTATTATAGAATTAAAAAATAACTATTGCTCAATTTTTTATAATTAATTAATTGTTTTTCCAAAACTTGAATTATTTTTGTAAATTAGATATTCTAACTTTAGTTTTGATGATCAAATAGATTTAAATATTTTTTAATAATGAAATTTATTTCTTATTTTCTTATTATTTTTTATAAATTAAATATTAAGATTATAAATTAATCCTTTAATCATGATACCAATTTTGAGTAATTCAGATATCAAATATTACGATTCTATTATCACATTAAAAAAAGATTAAATTTCTCATGCAATTGCAATCAATACCGAAAATTCTTATTTACTAATTTCTTGCTCATCATACATTGAAATTTATAGAATTTATGAAAAGTAATTAAGATTAATACAGCAAATTAATTGTCATAAAAGAAGAGTATCAAGTCTATGTTTTTTTAAATCAAATAGATTTTTTATTTCGGGATCTTTTGATTCATACATTATATTATGGTCAACAGCTTTGATAAATAGGTCAAAATACTTATAAAAATTAATAGGACATACTTAATCTATCTCATGTATATTAACACGTCCAATTATAGAGGATTTAATTATTTCTTGTAGTGCTGATTTTTCTATTAAATTTTGGAGTTAATAAATTGAAAATAATTAGTAATGGGTTTGTTTTTAAACAATCAGGGAGCATAGAAATATTGTATGGGGAATATCAATAAATTAACAGGGTAGTTAAGTAATTTCTTGTGGTGAAGATAAATAAATCTTAGTTATAGAATAAAACTAAAAACCATCTTCTAATTGGTTTGTAAAATAATTGATTTAAGTTAATTAATCAGGATTTAGATTGTGCTATATTAATAATAACATATTTGTTTTCTAACCAGAATCATCTGCAAACTTAAATATTTATACTCAAAACAAAAATCAGGAATATGTATTAACAAAAAATATTTAAGTTTTAGGTGAAGCTTAATTTTGTTATCCATATTTTCATTCAATATATAATTATGAAAAATAAATTCTTATAAATAAAAATGGTTATTTTTTGAATATCATAAAATTCAATAATAATATCAAAGAATCCTAAAAATTCACCTAATATCACAATGATGATTTAGATATATATGCCTAAACTGTTTAGGTTATCAATTTTGAGGATAATTATATTTTTGGAACTTTAAGTAATGATGGTTAGTACTTAATAACATGGAATAAGTTATCTAAAGAGTTATAAGTAAGCAAATACTAAGAAAATTTTTGATTGTATTTTATATATGGTATTAGGATATTATTTAGATAATAGAAAATCAATTTATGATTTACATCATTTTCTTTGCTTATTTTAAAATAATTAACTTAATTTCTTAAATCTGCTTTCTAGATGGAGGTAAAAAAGATATAAATTAATTCTAGCAATTCATTATCTATAATTTAAGCAATACTAATAAAAAAATATTGTCTTGTTCTGCTAATTGAAGGAGAATTTTCTTTCAGTTAACTTCATTAATTTTTGATTACTAATTTGTAATTCAATGAAATGTGCACCTAGAAGCAATTGTTTAATGCAATTATTTCATTAAGCATATTATATTTGAAAACTATAATGCTAACTTATAATAATTAAAAATTATGAGTGAATTATATAAGAATAATAAAAAACAAAGATAAAAAGTAGAATTCTTTATTTAAATTTTTCATTGTATATTTAATTCTATACCTATAGGTTTTGATTGAATTATACCTTAAATAAGAAAATACTCTTGCCAAAATATTAGGTAATATTGGGGCTAGTAGCTTAATCTTAACCTTGTTTATAAAACTAAGTAGACCTATGAGGTATTTATTATTTATTTTGAACAAGCTTATTAATCTAGAAAAATAAAATACAAAAACCATCAATACTTGAATGTTGAGCAAAAATATATATTATTCACTAAAAATAAGTTGATCGATAACATAATTTAACTATTTATTTAACATTATTTAAGTTGATTAATTCTAAATCCTAAAGAGTTATTTGAACTACTACCTTAAAATTCGAGACATCATGTTCATTTTAATAATCAAACTTTCAAATAAACTTTGTAGAATATTTTTTATTTTCATTATTTAAAATTATTAAGAGAAAATATAATTGAGATAATAAATTTTTCTTTAGAAAAATGTCAACAAACCCTACGCCTAATGAGAATAATGATTTCCCCTTTAGAAACAAAATATATATTATCCAAGATAAAAAGTAAAAATAAAAATCAATTAGACCTTATGATTTTTTTTGTCCATTTAAGAAAAATTCATTTCAAATATCGAAAATGGCAGAAGGGGATGATTAAAATGATTGGGAGGTAACTGAAGAATCAAAATGTTATATTAATTGGTGCTGTTGCTAATATAAATCTATGACGCTCATTTTTAAAGAAAAAAAAAATAATACATAAGTTTATAAAGCTGAAAGTAAAGATTTATTCTATTTAGGACCTAATATTGTATTTTGTAATAATAATGTATTGATGAATATTAAATAGAATAATGTTGAAATAGGACTGATTTAAGGTGTTTAGGAAGATATAGAAAAACTATGTAAATAATAAAAAATAACATATCCTTGTTTTCAAATTACATACACAGATAATGATAAAAATAAATAAACCTTTGTCATAGCAAAGGATAAATATAAAATCAATAATTTTTATCTAAGAGAATGTTGCTTACCTCATAAGGCACTTGAATTTATAATCTATTAAGTTTAAAAAGATTAAAAAGATAAAAAAGATTAAAAAGATTAAAAAGATTAAAAAGATTAAAAAGATTAAAAAGATTAAAAAGATTAAAAAGATTAAAAAGATTAAAAAGATTAAAAAGATTAAAAAGATTAAAAAGATTAAAAAGATTAAAAAGATTAAAAAGATTAAAAAGATTAAAAAGATTAAAAAGATTAAAAAGATTAAAAAGATTAAAAAGATTAAAAAGATTAAAAAGATTAAAAAGATTTATATTCATTCGAATAAATTGGATCAATTACGAATAACAATGAAAATTAGAAAGTATCTTGTACAAGAGCAGATTCATTTTTTTTAGAAATCACCAAAGACCAAATCTTCCAAAGAGAAACCACCAAAGACAAAAGCTTCCCAAGAGAAATAGTCCTATTGATTTTTGGTTGCTTGTAACTTAATTATCAAGAATTTGAGCATTTGATTCATTATCCTTGATTATTTTAAATTAATCAAATTAAAAATTTAGCTCCTCATTATTTCTACAATGATTTTCTGAACATCCAAAATTTTCCTATTTTCAATTTATCATTTCTCTTCAATATAAATATATTTTAAATTGATAATTATTTTTATTCTAATCTAAAATTAATTATCCTATAAGAATATTTCATTTATATTATTAATTTAATAATTATTTTTTTTAAAGATTGGTTTCAATTTATATGTTTAGATTGTTATTAAATAATCTCATCATTCCTAATATTATTGAGTGGGATTTCTACAAAAAAAATATCTTTGATGATCAGTAGAAAATCCAATCAGAATAATTTTATTAAAAATTAACCTAACGAAATTCATTTTTAATATATCTCTATAGATTGAAACTTGAAATCTAATGCTAATATCATCAAACCACATTTGTGTAAGAGATAATATTTAATGAATAATCAAATACCTTACTGAAATTCTATTTTTAGATATTTTTTGATAAATTGGCAAGCCATTTTTCCTTTGTTTACATAAAGAATTCAAGACAACAATTAAAATGTATTTTTTTAGTTTAGAAAAACAAGATTGAAATGCTGATAATTTAATATATAATAATTGATCCTGAAAAATTAATGATTATTGAGTATTTGGTGAGAAATAAAAGATCAAGAGTTTATGGATAAAATTTTTTTTTCTATTTTAAATGTGTTAGAGGATTTATACTTTATATAAATTATATATTATTTTCAATAGGTTTTTAAAAAATATCAACTTGGTAATAGTACTAAAGCAATATATACAATAGCTTAAAATATGTCAATTGTATTTTAAATTAGTGCATAAATTATTGGAATAAAAACTAATTAAAGAGAAATTAGTGTTTATTCAAACAACATATAGAAAAAAATGCATCAAAATGCAAAATTTATTTTTATATCAAAACCTTACAAAATGTTAAAACAAGATAATTTAATAAATTATTTTAAAACACAATTTTATCTCCATTATTATTATTAAAATAAATTATTCATATTTCATAATTTATTTCTCCTCGTTTATAATTGTCTTTAATGTCATATATTTCCCATTTACCAAGTTTAATACCATTTTTATATTCTCCATTATAAATTATTTATTTAACATCCTAAAACTCCTCATCCAAATCAATCCAATTTCCAATCTTAATTCCAACACATTTTCCATCATATAATCCACCACCTCTAAATAATATTACTATATTATATCGATTACATTTATTTATCTTCTTTCAAAATGTCCCATCTACCTTATTTAGAACCATTTTTATATTCACCATTATAAGTTATTTATGAATCATATTTAAATCCTTCACTCTATTCAATCCATAAACCAATCTTTTAGCCTTCTTCAGTATACTATCCCCCACCACTAAAATAAATATTATTATATCATAATTTACATTTTTTATTCTTAATACACAATATCCCACTTACCAACTTTTATTCCATTTTGATATTCACCTATATAAGTTACTTATTAATAATCATTAAATCCATCTGTCAACTCAATCCACTTACCAATTTTAGTTCCATTACCTTTTTCATCATAAGACCCACCACCACTAATTTAATTAATTACTAAAAATTTTACAGAATTTTTTTATTTTCAAATTAAGTATGATAAATATTCCATTGACCAACTTTTTTACCATTTTGATATTTGCCATTATAAGTTATTTATGAATACTCATAAAATCCATCCGACAATTCAATCCAATCACCAATTTTAATTCCATTACCATCTTCATCATATTACCCACCACCACTAAGCATAAGAAATACTTATATTTTTACATAATTTTATTGTTTCCATATTAATTAAAATAAATATTCCATCGTCCAGCTTTTTAACCATTTTTATATTCACCATTATAAGTTATTTGTGATTAATCAAAGAATCCATTTGACAACTCAATCCAATGACCAATCTTAATCTCATCACCTCTTTCGTCATATGATCCACCACCACTAAACAAATTGAATTTTATTAGATTTTACATCTCTTTATTTTCTCCGTAATTAAAATAAATATTCCATCGACCAACTTTTTTACTATTTTTATATTCACCATGATAAGTTATTGGTGATGAATCATAGAATCCGTTATACAATTCAACCCATTTGCCTTTCTTATATCCATTACCTTCTTCATCATAGAATCCACCCCCACTACAAAATAATAATTTAGCACCCAATATTTTTACATCTTCTCACTTTAATAATCTCCATATTGCTTCTTGTACCAAATTTCCCATTTACCAACTTTGATACCATTTATATATTCACCAAAATAAGTTACTTATGAAAAATGCCAAAATTCTTCCCACAATTCCATCCATTTTCCGTTCTTTAGTCCTTACAAATTATATTCTCCTCCACCACTTTTTATTAATATGGATTTAATACATCTCTTAATCATCATAAATATACTTCCAAGTTCCTTATCGTAATCCATTTTCATATCTACCCACTTCGTAAACTTAAGCCTTTCTATAAAATAAATCATCTTCAATTACCCCCAATAATTTTAAATTATTTCTTTCCATTAACCTTCTTTTCTTCCACATTCATTGTACTAACCGCCGACATTCTAAACAACTTCTCCTTTCCAAGTTGCAATCCATTTTGAAATCTTTTAATTATTCTATCCATAATCACCAATCCACTTTAAATGATTTATTTATTCTAAATTTGCTAAAATTTCAAGTTTATTTGAAGTGTCTTTAACTTAATCTCTATAATAAATTATAATTAATGTATTTAATTACCTTCTCATAATACACCCATCTCTTAGATATAAAATTTCTAAGGTCTTTGTAATTGATATTTAGTAATTTGTTCTTATTTTTCTGGGAGGATTTTCTTTATAATCCCAAATTATTCCATCATAGAATTAAGGGTTTTCAAATTATCTTTATTGTTCAAAAATTAATTATTGATCGTCTTATTAATAATTCATTAATAATAATAATTTCTATTTATTGTTAAGATTTTAACATGTGATTTTATCTCTGTCTAAACATAGTAGTTTTTCAAGAACTTTATAACTTCATCAATTTGAAATTTTTATGGAATAAACATTATTCATAAGTTGTGAAGTCATTAAATAAAAATTTATTTAATTTTTGGTAGGAATATCATCATTATTGATAAAAATTCTATATTATCTTGATTAAACATTAATTTATATTTTCGTTTCATATTCTTTTAAAGAATTAAAAAAAAAAAAGTTATGGAAAAAAATTTTTGATCTATACTTTTTGTCCCTTTACTAAAAATAAATATCCTTGATTAGCTGCAATAAGGGCAACTTTATTGATATTTTAAAGAGCATTTTTAGTGATTTAACAAATTTTTTAAGAATTCTTTGCTTGAAAAATTAAAGCTTAATTAAATTTAAATAATTTTTTCATTTAAAGCTTGCTTTGATAGTTTTAATAGCTAAAAAATTTTAATTAATTTTGAACATTTCTTTAAAAATAATTGTTTGTTTTTTCAATTTATATTTAATATCTTGTTAATTGAAATAATTATTGAAAGTTTGAATCAATACTATTATGATGTAAAAATTGAGAATTAATTTTTGAACCGTTTGCTCTTCGGAAGTTTAAATTTGAGTACTTAATAATCAGTATTAATGATTAAAGTAAATAATAAATTAATTTTTGAAAGAATCAAAATTTTTAATAAAATCTACGTATCAAGAAGTGATAAATTTAATTTAACAGAATTAATTGAATAACAGAATGCATAATATTTACTTTAAATTACTCATTANTCATCATTATTGATAAAAATTCTATATTATCTTGATTAAACATTAATTTATATTTTCGTTTCATATTCTTTTAAAGAATTAAAAAAAAAAAAGTTATGGAAAAAAATTTTTGATCTATACTTTTTGTCCCTTTACTAAAAATAAATATCCTTGATTAGCTGCAATAAGGGCAACTTTATTGATATTTTAAAGAGCATTTTTAGTGATTTAACAAATTTTTTAAGAATTCTTTGCTTGAAAAATTAAAGCTTAATTAAATTTAAATAATTTTTTCATTTAAAGCTTGCTTTGATAGTTTTAATAGCTAAAAAATTTTAATTAATTTTGAACATTTCTTTAAAAATAATTGTTTGTTTTTTCAATTTATATTTAATATCTTGTTAATTGAAATAATTATTGAAAGTTTGAATCAATACTATTATGATGTAAAAATTGAGAATTAATTTTTGAACCGTTTGCTCTTCGGAAGTTTAAATTTGAGTACTTAATAATCAGTATTAATGATTAAAGTAAATAATAAATTAATTTTTGAAAGAATCAAAATTTTTAATAAAATCTACGTATCAAGAAGTGATAAATTTAATTTAACAGAATTAATTGAATAACAGAATGCATAATATTTACTTTAAATTACTCATTAAATGTTATATAATTGTTTTTAAGAATATGAAAGGAAAAGAATATTATAAATACATGAAGGATTTCTTAAGTTTAAGGAAGAAATTATTTTAATAAAAATTTACAAAGAAGGTAGTTATAAAATTCAATTTATATGCATTAAAAATCATTATATTTAATTTGTTGAATACTGAGATATTAATTTTATTAGGAATACAAACTATTTATTAATAATCATAATAAATAAAAAAAACAATATTAACATATATCATCAAAGAAGATATTGTTATGTTGTAAATCATCTTTTAAATTTTTGTAATCTTCAAAAATTCTTGAATTATATAGGAAAAATTAAAGAAATAATATTGTATTAAAATATTTGTAATATTAAATTTTTATCAATAAAAAATAAGCATATGTTATTTATGAAAATTAAAATTTTTTGTAATTGACTGGAAGGTTTTAATATAAAGTATATATTATAAAATCATTTTAATACTTATTTATAAAGAAATGCAAATTTATTAATTAGTTAATATCAATGAATTTGAATATCTAAAAAATATTATCAAAGAAATCCACTTTGTAATTGAAAAAATGATTATTCATAAACAATTATTCTTTACTTTCTTAATTATAAATATTTAATATCCAACTTGCATTATTAATGATTTAATTCAAAATGTATTAAAAGATACATAATAACCAATTAATTTACATTCTAATATATTTTACAGCAAATTTAGTTATTAATAAATAATACAGAACATGATTAGTTTAACATTGTTAACGTACTATGCAAAAGATGTACCTCAATGCTTCATTAGCTTTTCTATTTTTATCAATATCTTATTACTAAATCAAATATACCGTCATTCGTTAGCGTAAACAGAAATTAGCAGATCCTTTTTTACCCCATTCAATTCAAATGATAGTAACTCTATTTATAATAATTTAGATTGGAAATCATATGAGACTATGTCATCAAATCAAATTACAGATTGTGGAACCTCAATGATTTTTGGAGGTCCNATTTATATTTTCGTTTCATATTCTTTTAAAGAATTAAAAAAAAAAAAGTTATGGAAAAAAATTTTTGATCTATACTTTTTGTCCCTTTACTAAAAATAAATATCCTTGATTAGCTGCAATAAGGGCAACTTTATTGATATTTTAAAGAGCATTTTTAGTGATTTAACAAATTTTTTAAGAATTCTTTGCTTGAAAAATTAAAGCTTAATTAAATTTAAATAATTTTTTCATTTAAAGCTTGCTTTGATAGTTTTAATAGCTAAAAAATTTTAATTAATTTTGAACATTTCTTTAAAAATAATTGTTTGTTTTTTCAATTTATATTTAATATCTTGTTAATTGAAATAATTATTGAAAGTTTGAATCAATACTATTATGATGTAAAAATTGAGAATTAATTTTTGAACCGTTTGCTCTTCGGAAGTTTAAATTTGAGTACTTAATAATCAGTATTAATGATTAAAGTAAATAATAAATTAATTTTTGAAAGAATCAAAATTTTTAATAAAATCTACGTATCAAGAAGTGATAAATTTAATTTAACAGAATTAATTGAATAACAGAATGCATAATATTTACTTTAAATTACTCATTAAATGTTATATAATTGTTTTTAAGAATATGAAAGGAAAAGAATATTATAAATACATGAAGGATTTCTTAAGTTTAAGGAAGAAATTATTTTAATAAAAATTTACAAAGAAGGTAGTTATAAAATTCAATTTATATGCATTAAAAATCATTATATTTAATTTGTTGAATACTGAGATATTAATTTTATTAGGAATACAAACTATTTATTAATAATCATAATAAATAAAAAAAACAATATTAACATATATCATCAAAGAAGATATTGTTATGTTGTAAATCATCTTTTAAATTTTTGTAATCTTCAAAAATTCTTGAATTATATAGGAAAAATTAAAGAAATAATATTGTATTAAAATATTTGTAATATTAAATTTTTATCAATAAAAAATAAGCATATGTTATTTATGAAAATTAAAATTTTTTGTAATTGACTGGAAGGTTTTAATATAAAGTATATATTATAAAATCATTTTAATACTTATTTATAAAGAAATGCAAATTTATTAATTAGTTAATATCAATGAATTTGAATATCTAAAAAATATTATCAAAGAAATCCACTTTGTAATTGAAAAAATGATTATTCATAAACAATTATTCTTTACTTTCTTAATTATAAATATTTAATATCCAACTTGCATTATTAATGATTTAATTCAAAATGTATTAAAAGATACATAATAACCAATTAATTTACATTCTAATATATTTTACAGCAAATTTAGTTATTAATAAATAATACAGAACATGATTAGTTTAACATTGTTAACGTACTATGCAAAAGATGTACCTCAATGCTTCATTAGCTTTTCTATTTTTATCAATATCTTATTACTAAATCAAATATACCGTCATTCGTTAGCGTAAACAGAAATTAGCAGATCCTTTTTTACCCCATTCAATTCAAATGATAGTAACTCTATTTATAATAATTTAGATTGGAAATCATATGAGACTATGTCATCAAATCAAATTACAGATTGTGGAACCTCAATGATTTTTGGAGGTCCTTCTGTTTTTAATTATCAAACAGCTATCACAAAGACTTTTGTATTACCTCCTCATTACCGGGTGAAGTTCGAGTTTAAATTCTGGAGGTACGTCAAAATGCTATTTATAGATTGGATCCCTGGACAGGTTCTTATTATATTTTTTTTATTGATGGAGCCTAAGCATACAAGGACCATCCTAATCTTTCAACTGGTACATAAATTTGCGGTAGTGGTACTAATGGGTAGGTTTATTCAATTAGCCAAACAATTTATCATAATGGTAACAGTGCCATAGTGACACTTATATCTTTACAGATTTCAGCTTCATGGGGAATTTCTGATTTCATATTATCAGTATATAAATGTCCAAAAGGATGCGATTACTGTGATAATAATGAAAACTGTTTAAATTGGAATAGAGTGTTGGCATATTTTAATAATATTGTTTTAATGGATGGGTAGGGATGGAAAAGCGATTTTAATCTATTTGATGGGATTTCTGATTGTGGAAGTATATTAAAAATATATTTAGGTTTTCAATTTTATGGTAAATTTGAAATGGCAAAAATACTTTTAATTGATTTATATTTATCTGAACCACACACAAAGGTTAAGATATAGTTTAAATTTCTATGCGCATTTGTCACAGGATCTATTACTATGAGGGTAGAAGCTGATGGAGTATTATTAGATAATTCCATATAATCTATTTCTATTATTACTACCAATGATATTATTTGTGGTTCTTATTTAAGACTTGATAAAATTCTTTTAGGAGAATTTATAAGTAATGATTAAATTTTGACTCTTACTATATAATTCTCTGAATCTCCTTCTCCAACAGGCACAACTCACTTTTTTGGAATTAGAGATTTTGAAGTATTTACGGATGCAGAAAAATAATAAGTATAAGATGAAAGCATAATTTGCAACGATAATAATATAAACCCTTTTGATGGTTGTTTTTCTTATATTTTTGATTGTAATGAAGGATGTGGTAATTGTGTAAAGGGTCTATGCACTAAATGTTTATCTCCTTGGACATTAAATACTATTTTGGGATAATGTATGCCAAAATGTGGAGATTAAATAGTAGTCTCTTCAGAATAATGTGATGATGGAAACTAAAAGCCATATGATGGATGTTATGAGTGTTAATTTTCTTGTCCTTAAAATTGTAAATTTTGCTAATTTGGAAAATGTTTGATATGCAACTCATCATATTAATTAATTGATAATTAATGTGAATTTAATTGTCATTAAGACAAAAGTCAAAATATAAGTCCATATTCAACTTAAGAGGAAGAAGGGCATTATTGCTAAATTTATAATTTTTTAAGTAATACCTATTTTCAACATGTCATAATGAATACAGATTTTCTATTCTTAGATGATTATAATCAATGTAAGATTGATAATCATGGAATATTTGCATATTAATATGAATTGTGTGTATTTTAAAAACCTTAAAATTGTAGAGATTCCTTTTAAAATATTTGTTATAATTGTGATGATCATTATGAATTATCTAATAATGGTTAATGTATACCTATATGTGGGAATGGTATAATTTAAGAATATGAATTATGTGATGATGCTAATTTACAACAGTTTGATGGATGTTATTAATGCTAATTCAGTTGTTAATTAGAATGTTTAGAATGCAATAATTCATATTGTTTTAAATGTGTTGAAGGACAAAGTTTAATTGATTTTAAATGTGTATCAGAATGTGGGGATGGAATAATTGCATTGCTATCATTTGAATAATGCGATGACTAGAATAATGAAAGTAATGATGGATGTTTCTAATGTAAATTTGAATGTTCTTAAAATTGCTTATTTTGTAATAGAAATTTAGATTGTTTATAATGTTAGAAGTATTTTGAGATTTAAAATTAAGTTTGTACTCCAATATGTGGAGATGGAATTGTTATAGAAGAGACTGAATAATGTGATGATGGTAATGATATAAAATATGATGGTTGTCATGAATGCTAATTTTCATGTAAAGATAATTGTTAGATATGTGATCAATTGGAATGTATAGATCCTCAAATCTAAATATGTGAAGAAAATGGATATTATTTAGTTGATAATTAATGCATTTCAATTTGTGGTGATTAAATTATTGCAATTAATGAACAATGTGATGATGCTAATGAAATCTAATTTGATGGTTGCTATTAATGTGAATTTTCTTGTCCTTTAAATTGTTTTGATTGCTATAATGGATAATGTTTATAATGTTATAAAGATTACCAACTTATGAATAATCTTTGTATTGATATATGTGGTAATGGTTCCAAGTCAGAATTAGAGGAATGCGATGATTTTAATCAAGTTTCTCAAGATGGATGTTCAGAGAAATGTGAAATTGAGATCAATTATACATGTACATAAATAGATTTTGAAACAAGTTATTGTCTTGAAATAAAGCCTCCTCATTTCAACTTATTATTCATTAATCAAACTTATGACTCATAATTTATTTAATTGCAAATTACAAGCAAGGTCAAATTACAAGATTCTTATTCAAACTTAACAAAAAGTTTAAAGGCTTATCTTGTTGATGTAAATCCCCTGGATTATATTATTTATTAGTAAGTAATAGTTGAACCAAATGCTATCTTTGTATAAGATGTCAATTACTTATTTTAAATTCAACTATTGTAACAACTAACAACTAATCTTTACTTTTAGGTTTAATTTGACACTTTATTAATTGATAATAATGGGTTTAAAGTAGAAAACTAATTATGCTAATTACGATTAAAGAATCCTATAGTATTAACTGAATCATAAAGAATGATATCTCATAAAATGAGCTCATTAAATATGTATATGCTTATTGGCCTTGGTGTATCTAGCTTTATTATTTTATTGTCTGGAAATCCTATTGAATGTTTTGAAGTATTGGATACAATGTAATATTAATCTAATTTAAAATACATAAATTCAAATTTTCCAGAAAATGTTATGATTTATTTTGAATCTTCAGAAGTAGTAACTATAATACCAATTATGGAAAAATTTAAGATTCTTGATTTATTTGAATTTATTATAGGATAAAACTAAATACAAGCATTTGGAAAGTTTATATTTTATAATATCAATTCAGACTTAATCACTAATTTATCAGGATAGATTGTATAAGTTGGAATAGTAGCAGTTTTATTTGTAACATCCAAGATTTATTTAAGAGTGTTTGTTAAAAATTAATACAATAAAATTAGAATTTTTATTTACAATAATAAGAAGATATATCTTTCATAATAGGTTGCTTTCTTCATACATAAAATTAATCAATTGTGCTTTGGGATTATTTAATTGATATCATTAAAGGGACTTGTGTATGCCATTAAAGCAAATAGTTGGGATCTCCTATTTAAAACGATGTTGTATCTATTTTCTTAAAAAGAGAATAATCTAAGAAATAAATTTTAAGACATACTAGCATACTCTTTTTTAATAAGTATTTTAGCATTAATTTCGTCTATTTTTTCATTAAAGGATTCAAAAATGGAATTAAAAAAAAGGAAAAGTCTTTGTCATGAAGGCTTGATTGTTGCTAAAAAGTTCTTATTTATTTTAATATTAATTGGATCTTAATAAAATTAATTAACATAATCATTATTGTTATCACTGATCAATTCAATTTATTTAACAATTATTGTTCTAGGTTCAATGGTCAACGAAAAGATTGATTTAATTGTAATTCTAATTTTTGAATTACCTATTATAATGTTTACTTTACTTAATATTTGTTATGAAGAAACATTTACACATTTTTTGAGCTTAGAATCTCAAGTAATGATTGGATTTGGATAGATTGGACTTCTATCATTAGGTATAATGGCACCATTAATAAGATATGGATATCAAATCAAAATTAGATTATAATAATTAATTTAAAGATATAAGAATCAAAGAGAAAAGTAAAAATAATCAACAGCATCTTCTCTTTTTATTTGATATGTAATACATGATTGATTAAATTGATTAATATCAATATTTTTAAATAATTTTAAATATTTTAATCATATGAACATATTTAAAAATAAAATAAGTTATCAAATTTGTTTCCTTTTAATTTTAAATATTATATTTATATTAATTAAATTAAATGGTCAAATTAAAGTATTATTTAAAAATTAAGATTTTCACTCATTTGTTTTATTGTTACAGAATATGCATAATTATTATATCAGAAGAAAATATTAAATTAATAATACATCATATATTCTTCAAAGAATATCATTTACAAATATGCTTAAAATGTTTTCTCTTAAGCTTTTTAACTATCTTGAATTTTTTTCTGAATTGTGATTTTAAAATAGATGAAAGTAACAAATTTGATTAATATATTGAGTAAAGTTCAAAAGGATTCAATATATATAATTACTATATATGTCCAAAAATAAAAAAGAATTTGATAACAGAATAGAGCAACTCATAAAAGTTATCTATTTTTAATAACGAAATTAATCATTAATTGTAAAAATAAATCTTTAGTATTATATATTATCTTAAAATTATAATTAATAAATATAATTTTATCCCTTATTTAATCTGGTAGTTAACTTTAGAAATTGTAAAATAAAACTGATCATCTAAATATTATTATTAATGAATAATCAAATAATTTTATATCACCTTTTATACTAGTGATATTTAGGATGATCTAATACAACTATTAACCAATTACATCTTTGATAAAAATTCCAAAGGATCAAAATTTAATCATCATTAAAATAAATCCTAGGGGCAGGTATGAATATTGAGGATCATAAATTATATGAAATTAAGAATAAGGATTTCTGAATCATAATTTATAAATAGTTTAGGAAAACAACAGAAGCATTTTAGGTATAGAGGTTTTTCAACTAAGTCAAAAGAATGTTATTAAGCATTAAAGAAGATGTATTAATCTAAGTAGAAAATAATAGTCTAAAATGCTTTGAAATTAAAAAATGTATTTATGTATAGGATACTTAATGGGAAAATAAGGAATATGAATTCAGATATGTAAATTTCCAAAGAACTTTTTTATTTAGCCAATCAAGGAAATTTTTAAATAATTATAGAGAATAAGAAGTTATTTTCTTTGTCTAAATTTTCTTCTAATTGAAATTAATTTTAATCTTATCAGATGAATTTCGATTAAATATTGACTTATTATGTTATTGATTGAAATAAAAAATGATTTTTCAAATAAATATAATAAATTAAGGAGAGGATGTAGATAATCACAACTTTATAAAGAATCAAGATTATTAAAGATAAAGAGTAAAATATCGAAAATAATTAATTCAATTAAAAAATTCAAAATAAAATAAATTTAATATACAAATTCAATTTTAATTATAATATGCATTTTAATAAAAATAAATTAAATAATAAAAGTAGATATGAATTAATACCATGATGTCACTATCAAATGTCCAAATACTGAGCATACCTAAAATGTTACATTAGTATGTTTTGATGAATCTTGTAAAGGAGAGAGATTATATTGTCATTAATGTATAAAAAATGGAAATCATATTTCACATCCTCAAAATTAAGAAGAATTGCCATTTTTATTCGAACACATTTAAAGGGTTGAAAAGGAATGTGCTGATTTAATTCATAGTATGAATTAATAATTTGATTTGGTTAATCATGACTTCTAATTATTAATTGATGGAATTAGATCTAAATATCAAATAACTAAATAATAATTGCTTAACTTAAATTCTAAATAAATTAATTCTTACCTATCATAAAGTATATATTTCAGATAATTTGAATTTACAACCATTTAATTAGTATAATAATTAACAAATGAAATCAAAAGCTAAATTTAGAAATTATTGTCTGATTTATAATTAAATGAATTAAACTATTATTAATTTTCTAAATTAAATCTAAATAAATCAGAAGAATTGTATTAAAGAGGTATTAAATTAATAAATTAGGATATAAACTATATTTAAATGATAAAAAATTTGATGAGGCTATTAAAATATTTGATTAAGCATTAGCTTTAAATTCAAGGCATTAATTATCATTATGGTGTAAAGGTATGATCATATTTTAATGTATTAGCGGACAGTTTAAAAATGCTTGGTTACTATAATGAAGCAATCATTTGGACAGACAAAGCTTTGTAACTAGATCCTAGACATTGTAATTCATTATATAGTAAAGGTATAATGATATGTTAATAGATTAGCGGAGAGTTTAAAAATGCTTGGTTTATTTAATGAAGCAATCCTTTGGGCAGATAAAGCTTTAGAAGTAGATCCTAAGCATTGTCATTCATTATATACTAAAGGTACTCATATATCTTAATTATAAAGGTGATTCATTAAGATTATTAAAAAAGTATAATGAAGCAATGAAAGTGATAGATTATTCTCTATAAATCAATCCAAATCATTTAGATTCATTAAGATCTAAAGGTTGCGTCTATGGTATTAATTTTAGGTGCATGTTTACAAGATCAGAAACATTATTAAGAAGCTTTGATATTTTATTCAAAAGCTTTAGCGATTAATTCTAATCATGAATGGACTAAAAATAGAAAAAGTATTTTATTTCTAATATATCAGATGAGTGTTTAAAGGCTTTAGAAATCAAATGAGTTTTTTATTTTATCAAGAATTAATATTCATTATAATTAATATTCAAATGTTTCTTTTTCTTCTAATTAACATATCAATATTCTGATATTAAGTTTGAGCATGAGTCATTTCGTGTGAAGATTCTTAATATATAATTAATAATTTTGATTACAATAATAAAAATATTGCATTAATAATATTTATTGAAAATATTTTAGAATGATAAAAAGAGCTTGAAGGGCTAAGATTTTAGTTTGCTCTAATTATAATTAATAACAGTAATCTAATGTGTTTTCAATAATAGATAGATAAGTCATTTAGTTTTAAGCATCTCTTTTCTTTTTTACTTAAGATACCTAAAAATAAACTACGAAAATGCTATAGGTTTGAAACTTTATGGGTAATCAAATTTAATTGATACCAAATATATAGAATAAAAATGAAAATCTCACTTATATTACATCTCCTAATCTTAGTAAATGTATTATTATATTCCACTTTAAATTAGAAATATGTTAATATATACTCTCTAAAGATGAATTCATAATTATTTGATTTATATTTTGTAGTAGAAGTGATTTAGAGTTTAACTTAGAAATATCTGTTGCAATAGTAATCCTAAAGCATTACTAGTTATTAAAATGATATTTTATAAATCTATGTTATTGGATGCTAATTTGATACGTAATAGAATTCATTTTACAATACTTTATTATTTTTTATATTATAAATTTTCTATTAAAATTACTAGAAAGTTGTTGGAGTAATTATGTTAGAAATTCTACTTAAATCTACTTTTTAACTAATTTAATAATTAACTGAGCAAAGATCTTAAAAATATTTAAAATCAAAATAAAAAAAATAAAGAATTTCTTGTATAAATATTATTTTTTAATTAAAAATTCAACAGAACTCAGTTTCTATTATTCTTAAGTCTTTTCTTTAAAAGAATTAACTTTTATTATTGATTATTTAAGGAGAAAAAGCAAAATAATTGTAAATCCCTTTTATTCCTTTTTTGATATACATTGCAACAAAATTTTAATTCCTGTCATATCAACAATTTAATGAAACTTAAAATTTAACACAGAATAGGATTATTTAAAATTTGATTAAAATAAAGTGATGCTTTGAGATCATCTCCAATAATAATATCTAATTTTTAATCTATACTTTTTTTTAAATATTTAGATAAAATATTTTATTAAAAACATATTGTTTGGATTAAAATAATCTTACCAAAATATCATTAAGAATACAAAATAAAAATATTAAACTAAATATTAATAGAATCCTTACATTTTAATATGTAATAATGTAGGAAATAAACAGACTTTAGTGTCATTTAAATACTTTTAATCATAAATTAGAAACAGAATGGGTCAATTACAGAAATATACAATTTATCAACTCAAGTAAAGAGGTAATTGGTCTACTAAAATTTTATATTATTCAAGAAAAGGAAAGTCTTTTAGAAAATAAAAATCTTTGCTAATTATGATATCATTAGTAAGTTAAATTGGCATAAATACCATTTCTCTAATTGGGAAAAACAAATAAAATAACTTCTTGGAAACTGTAAGTTTGGTCAAATCATGAACAAATACATATGTAACATCCAAATTTACACTAAATAAATAACTTATAATAAGATTATCATCAAAAAATAAAGAATCCGTTTAAGAATAAACCTAAAGTCTAAACAGAATAAAAATGATTTAATAATAGGGATGAGAAATAGCCTCCGATATTGCAAAATTACCTAGATTTTGAACTCAAAATTAAATCTTGTATTAGTTCATAAAAATTAAACTCTAAATCAACTTTACAAAAAATATAAGATTTAATAAATTTATGATCCATAATAAGAGAGCATTTGTATTTTATGAATAAAGTAGTGTCGAAATAATAAAATGGTGTAACATAATAATAATGTATTGACTAAATTAAACACTAATGATAGTAAAAACAAAGTAATGGAAAGAAATTATTGGATATACACTTTATTTATTTGCATATTTGCTAAACCTGAGAATTTATCAAAAATAAGAAATTAGAAATATGGCTATAAGGATAAAAAATAATAATATATGAATTAAGTTAGCAATGGTGTATCATTCGTAATTTGAGAAGTTTGGATAAAGGAGTAAATTAAGGTAAAGATTTTAAAATAGGTTTCAAATAATTTAAAATCGTGAATAGAAAATGGAAAAAAGTTTGGTATATGAATATAAAGTAAGAAGTAATGAATTAATCTTATATACAGATTTCAATAGATTGATAAAATTAATTATTGAAGAAAATATTTAACTAATTGATTATAAGTATTTAATTTTAATTTTAATTATTATTCATATTAGATATATATATAATTCTATTAATCACTTCAAATTTAGGTTTATTAATTAGGTAAGTTAATGATATAAAATATAAATGCACTTTTACAGTAATCTAAATTATAAAAGGAGAGGAATAATGAAAGATCTTGTTTTATATAAGAGACTTATACGAATGAAGATTATATGGCATATGTGTAAATTGAACAATTTATGATTATTATTAACTCATCTCATTTTTTAATTCTCGAAACTTAAAAGTAGAATAAATATGTAATTTTGCAGTAGTTTTTTGAAATTAATAAGAGTTAAAGAATGAGAATAAATAAATTTTCTTCAATAAAAGAATTTATTTATTTGGAGAACAATTAACCATTATTATTTATGCTATATTTATTTTTTTAGACATTGATTGCATAAGTATTACCAGAATGGCATTTTGGCAGGATTTTCATTATTACATGATTTTATTAATTTACGAGATTTTTATTTGTATAGTTTATTCTTTAGGGTGGATTTATGTTTCCGAATTATTACCTGTATTTCTTAGCTCATTAGCCTTTCGTTTCACATTTGCTGGGGGTTTTTGACAGTATATAAGTATTTTTATTAGTTTATTCTCATTTTAAATGTTTATCTATGGTTGCTTTTTGGATAATTTTTATTTTAGGTGCATTAGTATTGTTCGCATAAAGAGATAAGATCCAAGAGATTAAAAAAGAATTATAATAAGTATGCTTTATGTAAAAAATTCAGAAAAAAATATATCACCTATTCCTATTCTTTAATCGAATGATACATTATAATATTTAAAATATATACTATAATTATATGATATTATAATTACAATCAGATTAGATTCTATTTCTATTAATTATAATAGCATTTAATTTATTACACCTTCATTTTATAAAAATCTTATTAGTTAAATAATAAAACAATATGGCTCGAAATAATAGGATATTAAAAGAAATAAATACCTTTAAATTATGGTAATTCTCTGATATTAAAATTGGGCTTATTGATTAAAAAGACATAAAAAATTTATGGGCTAGTATAGAAGGGCCATAAGAGACACCTTATTAAGATGGGCTGTTTAATTTAAGTTTTTAATATCCATATGAATACCCCTTTAAAGCCCCAAAAATAATGTTCAAGACTCCAATTTATCATCCAAACATTAATTAATTAGGAGAAATTTCTCTTGATATCCTCTTTGAGAATTGGAACCCAGCTCTTTCTATTTCAACAAGTATTCGAATGCCTAAATTTAGTTTTATTGAGTATTTAATCAATCTTAGATTCTCCATTTCTGGATAATCCAATTGAACCAGAAATAGCATGGATATATTAAAATGATAGAAGCCTATACAATAAAACAGTTAGAATGTGGGTTAAAAAGTATGCTTAATGAATTATTAGAATATTTTTTTTAAATGATGCTTATATTCTGAAATTATTTTAATGATTTTATTAAATATCAATTGTTTTAACTTAGAAAATTATTTTATAAAAAAATAATTATACAAGTATTTTATTATATTGATTAATCTATATCTATATTTAAACATCAATTATTTTTGTATTAATTCATACCTATGATACATCTAAAGTAATAGACCATTTAAGATGATAATGGTATTGTCTGTATATTTATAATTATTGTATTAAAATATTTATTTTTTTAATTAAAACATCATATTCTTATTATGTTTTTTCTTCTGAGAAAATTATTCATTAATTAATTTAATGAATTAATCTGTTTTTAAACTAAAACAACAAAGATTTAAAACTAATTTATCAAGACAATTCATTTTTATTGAGGCCCAAATCTCCAGGTTATTTCCTTTCAAAATAGTCATAATAATTTTAAGATGTGTGTAAGTACATTCTTAAGGCAGATTTTAGGATTCTAACTAAAGTATTGTTAAACCTCTAATTCAATAATATCATATCTCCCTTTATTGACTGACTAAAAAAATCTTCCAAATTTTCTCATTAGAAAATATTTAAAAACCGATACTTTACTTTTTTGAATTGAGATTAGTATGAAGTTTGAATTTTTCAGACTTTCTTTACTCAATAAATAATTACTTTGTGTATATTATTAAAATCTCCTCCATTCTTTTATTAAACCTAAGCAAAGTTTCCTTTAACATTTGCAAAGTGCAACACATCTCAAATATATTAGAAATAAAAAATAATAAGGGCAATTCATGAATTAAAAATACTATAAATTATTCTCTGATTAGTATTATGGCTCAAAAAAAATACTTGATATTTTTGTAAAGAAATAGACTAGACTTGTTAAAATTTATAATTGAGATGTAATCAGCAAATAATAAGGAATCAATAAGCCTTTTGATAGCTTACCTTTTTTAAATACANTGCATGTTACTTTGGAACACCAACGAACAATGTTTGTCCGCCATGTCCATCAGATTAATACTATGTTAAAAATGTTGGGTGTAGATTGAAATGCGATTCTATTTAACCATTATGTTTTAATGGATTTTGCAATGCTTGTCCAAGTATATTTAAGTTATTTTGTTTAGGTAATTTTGGAATAGGATAAGTTAGAGTCAATGAAAAAATATCTAATGATCCTAATAGTTATAAAGATTTTTTATAATGGTCTAAAATCTATGACCCAAAATTCATTGACAATTCTGTAGATGTGTTTCATTATTATACAGAAAATGGTTATAAAATCTTCATATATGGAATATTTAAGCAAAGCTCAGGAATTATGAGATAAGTTTCAATATCAAATTAATGGGGATATTATATGAAAGTAAAAATTACGATAATCATTTTCAATGGGTTTCCAATGGATTGTGGAATTTAATTCAAATTTAACAATACTCTTGTTGGTTCCATATATAAGAATAGTTCTGGAATTTAATTGCACAAATTTAAGGAATTTTAAGAGACTTCTCTAGGTCCTTATGAATCTTATTCCAGTTCCTATAAATATATTATTGATGGTGTTTTTGACTTGCCTAAATATAAAATTTTGTTTTCAGCTATTGGTAATTATAGGTAAATATTTTATATATGAATTCTTAGTGACACATCATTTGGTTGGGCATTTTAATCAATTTGGTTTAGAACATAGAGATGTACAAATGATTGTATTTCTTGCGATGTAAATTTCAAATGCACTTAATGTTCATCATCAACTTTTAGATATAGAGATGGAACATGTATTTCGACTTGTAATCAACCCCATTAGAATATAATTTCGGGTTATTGTAAGGATTTAGATGATGAAACTCCATGTAATGAATTAATTAAATATAGATTCATCACTATTGACAAGAGAAGATGTGAATCAATTTGAATTAGATTATTACCCTGAATTCACCTTTAGTTTCTTAAAGTTTTTAAAATTTTTTAAGAGGATCTGATACCCTTATTTAATTCATATATATAAATATTTAAATAAGTGTAGATATTTTTCATATTTGAGAGAATTAAGAACATTTGGTGGTTAGTTCATTTAAGCATAAGCAAGATTTAGAAGAGTCCATCAACATTTAAGTCCTCATCATAGTATTTCAATAGGTTTCTATGTATTATTTGGTCCATTATTCCCTTCAGATCGAAAGTTCATCTATTAAATTGATTAATAGGATGCATTATTCACATCAACACTGAATGCAGTTACTCTCTCGAATGGTCTATAATGGAATGATGAAAAAACTTGTACTAATTGAAATAGTTCTTATAATCCCTTTTTAATCTAATTTTCTTTAGACGAAAATTAACTAAATTAGTATTTTGATGTACCAAAATTTTTGTGTGCTAATAGTGAACCCAGTTATTCAGCTTGCAAATCTCAAATGGTTTGTTTGACTTGTATAAATGCTACTTATTCTTTAAACAATGTAGGATTTTTTTGTAAACTAAATCAAATTGAAGAATCCAATTATGTGTTAATTCCCCAATTGAATACTGAATTTTTATCTATAAATAATAGTAAATTATTAAATGGATACAAATAAAATAATATTTGTATTTAATGTCCTAATAATATTGATGTATCACTTTTAGAATGTTATAAATATTGTGATAATGGTGATCTAATATTAAATACGAATACTTGTAATACTTGTGGATAAGGATTTAATTTAATATCTAATGAATCTGTTCCAATTTGTGGATATCTGTTGTTGGGTATGAGTAATGTGATGATGGTAATAATATTTTACATGATAAATGTTATAATTGTCAATTCTAATGTCCAATTAACTGTTAAACTTGTGACATAAACACTATACGACCTTGTCCAGATATTTGTGGAGATGGATTAATTATTAGCGATGAAGAGTGTGAGGATGGAAATGACATCTAATTTGATGGATGTTTTGATTGTAAATATTAATGTTCGACTTAATGTACAAAATGTATTAATGGTAAATTTTCTGAATGTGCTACTTAAGGATGGTAAATTGATGTTTCATCTGAACCTTGGCTTTGTAAGGAAGTTTGTGGAGATGGTTTAAGAGTTGGAATTGAAGAATGTGATGATGCTAATTTCTATGACGTTGATGTGTGTCATAATAGCAAAATTTTTATGTTGAATTGGATGCTCTTTTTGTGATTTTGAACAGACAAAATCTTTGAGTTGTGAATTTGAAGGATTATAGCCTTCTGATTATTTTTGTTAACCTATCCTAAATGATGGACTGGTTGTATGGGATCCATATGGATTCTTTTATGAAATAGCTGATTATTCAAGAAGGTGTGAAAGCTGTTCTTATTATTCTGAATGTGAATCGTGTGGAGGGGTTTATGGCAAATATGAATGTTAACCATTAGAATGTACTAGTTGTGTGAATAAAAATGCTAAGCTTGTATTGCTGGACAAACTCTTTCAACTAATAATATAGAGGATGCCAAAATTGTAGACCTAAATGTTAAGATTCTTGTTCTAATTGTTATATAATGTACTAGGATTACTTGTATTACGGAATAGGATGTTTACAATGCAAAGAAGGTTAAAATTAAATGACTTTCTATTTTATTCTAAATGTGGCGAATTTCTATTTTCATATGATAAGAAGTGCGATGATGGTAACTTAAATCCATGATGATGGTTGCCACTTCTGCTAATTGAATTGCCAAAAATCTTGTCTATTTTTTATTAAAGGAGTTTGCCTTGATTGTGAAGAAGGCTATGAATTAATATAGTCAAGATGTCATCCTATTATTAATTCTTTTGAATAATATAAATATTCCAATTATTTTGATTGCTTGTAATCACATAAGAATTGGATTATGAAAAATAGCAACTTAGGATAGAATGATGTCAATAATTATATTAATTAATAGAATTCTTCTTGTAAATTTTGTTTGATTAATTGTGAGATTTGCAATGAAGAATCTTGTATAAGCTGTGTAAAAGGATATTATTTAAATGAATAACAATAATGCTAATCTGAATGTGGTGATGGTATTTTAATATAAGATGAATAATGTGAATTGAATGAACAATAATGCTTTAATTGCAAATATATTCATCCTTAATATTGCTAAAAATCTATAAATAATGTATGCATAAATTGTGATGATGGTTATTATTTTAATGAACTTGAAAAGTTATGTAAATTATCATGTTGAGATGGTGGAGATGGCATAATAATTTGTAATGAAAAATACTAAATACAATCAAAAATTGATTGTAAGTTTTAGTGTAGCGAAGATTGTTTGGATTGTAAAATTGGATTATGCTTTTAATGTAAAGATTCATTTAATATTTGGAATGGATAATGTCACAAAGTTGAGAAATTAATTAGATCACAATTGGAATGTAAAGAACATATTTAGGGTTTATGTATGTAATGTTATGAAAAATATGTGTTAAATTTAAAAGGTGAGTGCATACCATCTTGTTAAGACAGCTGTGTCATTTGTAAATTTGGATAATGCTATCAATGCAAGGAATCATACTATTTATATTAGAATACTTGTTATCCAGAAAATGAATGCTCTTTGTACTTTATTTCTGATTTTTCATCATTTGATATTACTTGTAGAAATTTATAATCAATTGAAATATAAAGGAACAATCAACAATCTTTAAATTCTGATGAAATATCTAATCGCTTGTAATTTCTTTTTGGATTTGATTTTGATTTAATTGATTCACAATTTTTGAAAATTGGTTATTCTTAAATAAAACCTTAAACGGCTAATAAATTTAAATAGTTGAAGATGAGATAATTTACATTAAAATAGATAATAATGATTCAGATTCATATTTTAATCTTTAAGAGTTAAATTGTAATACTGATTGCTTCCTTTGTTTTGATACATAATGTATTCAATGCTAAATAGGGTATTTAATTGTTGACTTTTCTTGTGTTTCAAACTGTGGTGATTCATTAATAGTAGGAAATGAATAATGTGACGATGGTAATATATATGAGTATGATGGATGCTACGAATGTTAATATTAATGTTAGAAGTATTGTGAAATTTGCGAAAGAGGAAATTGTATTAAATGCATTTCTAATTTTGTATTAGATTCTCTCCAATAATGTCGTTAAATGGAATAATTATCAATTACTCAGAATTATGATTGTCGAATAATGTAAAATAATCAATGCATATTGTCTGAACATGGAAATCTTGAGTCTATAACTGGAATTTGCATCTTAGATCACCATTTAGAAAACTAATGTATAGGTCATTGCAATATATGTTTAAATTAAGAATGTCAACAATGTGAGTATGGTTATTACGAAACGTATTGTCTTTAGGGAGATGGGTCAAATCTTCCAATTGAGCGTTGCACTGATTTCAACTAATAATAATCATAAATTTGCAAATAATTTTAAGAATGTAATTAAAATTGCATTTGCTGTTTTTATTGTAAATTCTCTTGCGATACAAATTGTTATGATTGTTTTTAAGGAATCTGCTAGACTTGCTAAGATAGTTTTATTTTGAATTAACATCATTTATGTGATCCACTTTGTGGTGATAATTTTGTAGTTCCGTTTTCAATAGAATAGTGTGATGATGGTAATTTCAATTCTCTTGATGGTTGTTATAAATGCAAATATGAATGTCTATCTAATTGTCTTGATTGTAATTAAATACTATGTCTTAAATGTGAAGAAGGCTTTGAAACCAATAAGTCTTATTGTGTTCCTATATGTGGAGATGGTATCATTATTTAAGAATTTGAGGATTGTGAAGATTTAAATGATGAACCTTATGATGGTTGTTATGAATGCAAATTTTAATGTAGACAAAATTGTAAATTATGTAGTCAAGGGGTTTGCTTAGATGAATGTCCTGAAGGAATGATTTATGTTGGTGATATTTGTATGCCGAAAAAATGTATTGATAATTGCTAAATTTGTGAGAAAGGAAATTGTTTTGAATGCAATATAGGATATTCTTATGATGAGTTAAAAGATTAATGTATTTAAGATAAATTATCAGACTCTTCTTTAAATGTATCAATGATTGAAATGGATGAAAACTATTACATATGTCGTCTTACAGAATGTGTTTTTTCACCAGCCCCTATTCTGTAAGTAATCTTAATTAACCAGACTTTTTCAAGATAATATGTGCAGATCTTCTTCGATTAACAAGTTAAATTGAAATTTGATGAAGAAGAATTAAAATTTCAATTCAATTTTACTAATTTAAAGTAAGAAGATTATATTATTACATTG